AAGAAGCCACGTGGTAGGCTCTGCTAAAAGCCACCAACATTCATCATGGCTTTAATGCTATCAAACTCTAATCTGTCTGGGATTTTGTGTGTGTTAACACAGCTACAAATTCAGAGAGCAAACACTTCAACAGTACTACATAAATGTCTCAATATATTTACTAGACAATAAACAACCTATTCAATTCCAGGGATTTGCATGAGAAACGTGAGCATTAGTGAACAGAGACAAGTCTTCTGCCTCTCTGCTGAGCGAAAAGATGGCTTCAAACGTGATCCTTTGTCAGACAGGATGGGAGACACACAAGCCTCTCGGTGTTGGCAGATCTGGGCTCACAATGCCATAGATTAGTAACAGCCTGACCACAGAGCTGAAATAAGCTAATTGCTTAATTAGCTGACCCAATTCTATAAGCTTCTTTTAGCATATTAACAAGAGCTATGTAACAAATAGTTGCGTTTCACAGGGGTGGTGTTTATGGAATTACAATAATTAGGATCAAATACAAAACATACGGTCAATGGCACTCCTTTTATGGAATCTCTGCTTTAGAAAATCAAGGCATTATTTGATTTCAGCAACACTGAGGTGCTTTTATTTATGTAGGACTCAATTCAGCCTTTGTTGGATCCACATGTAAATGATCCTGGTGCTTGTTTGTAATTTACATCAATTTTACATTTACTGTCCTATGTTTTTGTTTATGTTGTTTTATTTTCTGTTTTTTTCCTATGTTAAACAATTAAGCTGCTTTAGGGGAATAGATTGACTGCCCTCTCAATATTTCTGGACATTTGAGCAATGAGAGACAAATAAGAGAAGGGAGGGAAAAAAATCTTATTAAATTGAATGATGATTGAAATGGATTAATTTACATTTTCCACATGCATACTTTACATACATGATCTTTGCTCAGCACAGGGAGTTCTGGGCAAAAGAGCACTATTTGTATGAGATGAACTCATCTATATGCTAATTCATTGGTATGTCGACCTGCTTCATTTCTTCCATTCAGGACTGTTTACCTATTAGCTATTATAGATGCAAAGGGAATCTAAATCTTAAAACCAAAAAGCTAAGGAATATAGAGCATTAGCAGTACATCACCCCTTATTATATTTTTATTACTGTGGAATTTCTGCCCTTTGTTTAAGCTTGTAACCACAAGCCAACTTCCAAGACACTTATTACAAATAAAATTAGCCAACTCTTTCACTTAAGTGAGACTTGTTGCCCTTGACAAAAGCACAGTGGATTTTCAGAAGACAAGAGGAGACTACACCCTGCTGAAAACCTCTGAGCTCTCCTGATTCAAATGATCTGATGCTCAAAGATGAAAAAGCAACTTGGACTGTTTAGCATTTCACAATGTTCTTTTGTGCGTCAGTATACAATTCATAACATTACAGAGCAAAAACCTGACTTAAATGTTGCATAGAAACACCAACATGGCCTTATAAGGAGATGTTTGACAGATCAAGTTACAAGTGAGCCTAAATGCTAATGTAATTTTATATGAACCAGGCTGAAAGAGATGCAATCAACCATTCCTGATTCAGACGACTGTTGTGTTTAAGAGGATGACAACCCCCTTTCTTATTGTCTATGTAATTCACCAAAATTGCCTCTTACAGCCGCTAAGAGCAGGGTGTTTCATCTCCAAGCTTCCTCTGGTCTTTGCTACTCATCCCATTTCTACTTCCTCCAAAAGTGCCACCACTTCATTAACCTTGCCAGGCATGAGATAAGAGAGGCAGTGCATCAAAGCTGCCAGCCCACAGAGAGAACAGAGCCCTGCATGTCTCCACCACACAGCAGCCATCACACACACTGGCAGATACACAGTGCACAAACCATCCAACATGCAGAAAAGACCTTTTGTGTTTCAAACTGTCATTCAGAATTTTTTTTTTTTGTGCCCACGCGACATCATCATGTTTTAAATATAATTCTAAGTGGGGTGAAAACACTTGCTAGTTCCAAAGGTTTATGGGAGTTTGATTGGGAAAGAACGCAAAATAATTGGTTTAGGTCAGACTTTTCATTGCCTCAGACCATGCAGACACTTATTTAAGGTGTCTCATAGCACTCTTGTAATAGGGGTTCAGGTACACAGCGCTGTCATCACTATGACCTATACACTTAAAACCTTGAAAATGAGAAAATTAAACAAGAAAAGCATCAAAGCCAACTTCAGCTCGATGAGTAACAACTCCCGACTTCCTCAAAGCATGAAAGCAGATGGTAGGAAATGTATTAACTGAGTCACAATATTGTTTTACTTGCACCACATACAAATCTCTCTGGTGCATTTAATCCCTCTACCCACAGTTTCTCAGAAAGGAGGATATAAATTATTTTCCTTTGGTGGAAACTGCAAATCCCTGTCTGGATTCTGTTAAAAGGCTTAAAATGTCACTAAATGCCAAGGCTGAGACTCCTGCTAACACGTAGGTCTTTAAGACAAGATGTTAAAGCGTTGAAAGTTACCTGAAATTGATGAGGTTAATATTCTTATCGCAAACTGAGGCTTCTGTGAAAGTGGATATTGAAAATAGCCAGGTAACCCTTCATATTAGAGGCTATCACAAGGATTAGCTGCATAAACACCAATTACACATTTAATTGTTTATTGTCAGTAGTATTTAGAAAATATGCTACAGTGCATAAATTAAAAGGATTGGGATGTAGAGGGGGGATTTGACACAATATAGTATCATAAGTATGTATTTCAGTGAAGAAGACAAGTAAATGTTCCCAAAATAAGAAGTCAAACTGCTGAATTCTGGCCTGTAAATGAGTAATTTACCATGAATATCCTTCTCTATCCCTATACGGCCATATGAATTTCTAAACTACGTTATACTAGCATGGAAGGGTCTGTCACTGAAATTTGAAATAGAGGACAAAGGGCCACCGAGCAAATAGGTTTTTTTAGACACCGTCCTCTGAGTTCTCTGCCAATGTGAATCAGAGGTAAAATACAGTGCATTAAGTCGACCTCTGAGGAAGCACAGAGGAGGGTAGAGTGAGACATTCTGCTATCTATTAAGACTTGCGCTATGTATATATTGTGTTTTGAAGGAATTTTACTGATCCACAAAACCAGCAGGGAAGGATAAGAGTGAGTCCCTAAGACCGTGTGGTAAGCAACTGCAGTGCAGAATCTCAGGCAAGTTGAAAGTTGCTGTGCCGTTAAGGAGAAAGTCTGGCAGAATCCTGCATGCCCGCTGATAACATGGTTGGATTAAGGATGTTTAAGGGAAGTGAAAATTATTCATTTGAGATGGATGAAAGCTGCACTTGTCAAGTCTACCAGTCATGCACTTTATACATTTCATTTCCACTAGCCAGCATGCATAATTTCCCCTCAATGCAAATTTCTACACACTGAAAATTGTGAGCATATTTACCCCGCTCCCTTAACACATTCTCTGACACAGAAAATGGATCATCTCTATTGAACAGGGAACAAAACAATGCAATTTTGTTTGCAGAGGTTTGAGAATCTAATTTTGTGCAGGAAGATAAAGTCACAAGACTGTAGAATACAAACAATACTTTTCATTTGAAATCATGCCTGAATCAAAAAGAGACAATGTTTTGTTTCCCAACTCATCAGAATGACATCTATGGAAATAATTTTAGCACATACCCAATTATCTAAACAGACTTCATGTTTTGACTGTAATTACTGTTTTTTTAAGTCACAAAAGTCTCAGCCTCAGTGTTGGTCTAGGAGCCTTGTAACTGAGTATATGTACTGTATATGCATCTCTCTATACAAATATTATGATCTCTCTGATGAGAATTAAGTCTCCAGCCTGGATGGCCAATAAATTAGAGGCACGCTTCTCGTTTACTCATCAGAGCTAATGAGGCTGATAAAATTACCTCGAGGATCATAATTACAGGCTAGTGGCAGAGACTCTGGCAGAGACCGGAATAAGATGACACACACACACACAATTTAGATTATGTTGCAAGTGGCAGCATACAGCAGCTAACCTAAAACATCACAAAGCACTCACGTCTTTTTAATAGAATAACTAACAAATATCAGTGTGCACAAGGAAAGATTAAGCTTCCTGAATGAAAATGCATAAACAATTCAGCTAATGAGACTGATAGAAACCTATACTGATCGACATAATCACTTCTTTTTTTTTTTTTTTTTTCAAAATGTACAGGTTTGACATAATGTAAAGTGAACAATATTACAATTTCCACCTTTCTGTCAAAATGATTTTACCACCCTTTCATAAAGATTAAGCACTTCATGGGTAATGGCATATTTTAATGAACGATGGCAGCCTGGACACAAGAGCTCACCTCAGAGGATTCCATTTCATCACACATTCACAGGATGAATTGTTTTACTTATGAATATTAATGTCCCTCTAATTTGAGGCTGTTGTTAATGCTTGTCGCTAGGAGCTTGGCAAATCAGGTCCCATTCCTGTTAAAACCATGTATTAGACACCCCCCTGACACTAAGCCCTCGCCTTTGATTCTTAATTGCAGAAGTGCAAGCATTTGCAGTAGATGGGGCGCAAAGCTTTAATTAACTCTAATATCACACATTCAGTCTCGACTGTCACACACATCACGCATGGCATTTTGTACCAATATCATCCCCAACTCTGCTCAGCTAGAAAGACTGTTTCAAGTTCATGATCACAATTTCACGCATTTCAAAATGAGGGATATGTAGTTTATAAGTAGCTGCAAAATATTGACGCCAGAGAATTATCTTGATGCCATCCTTAAAAGTATTAAAAGCATACATTGATGCAGCTCAGTGATTACTGCACAACTTTAATGCAAAGGGGTTGCTGCATTGTATGGTTTCTTACTGATTTTTGGGCAGTCGTTTAATCAACAATCATTGGTGAAGCTTTATATGTGGGAAGAGGAGTGACAAAAAGTTCAAGGATGTGTTTGAATAGAAAGTGCCAAAGGAATCTAGTAAAGTAAATAATTCAACCTCTCGTACACACTAATCTTCAAAAGATTTATTGGACAACAGATTTCAAGTTTCAAATAATATAAATAGTGTAAAAGTACATACCATTCAATACAAACACTGCGAATGCCATTTTCACACATGACTGACTCCACATGTCGTTTGAACATTTTAATAGCTCAGGTACAGAGCATTTCCGATGCAGATATTAGTAAAGAGTAATGTTTAATTAAACCCGGTTTAAAGATAAAGAGCTCAATACAACCTATAGTTTATAAGCCTTCCCCGGCCATAAGCTACAGCTCTACCTAATCCTTTTCACATAACATTATTGCATCAGCACAGCTGAACATTTTTGCAGCATTTATAAAATTAGCAAAGAAATTAACTGTCCGTACTGTGGCAAATTGGATTTCCAAGTTCTTGCCTTGTGATATAGCATACCCAGGCTGCCACCTACAGTACAGTGTGAGAGGGGAACTGGAGTCTGCAACAAGGCAGTTCAACATGTGTGGCTCTCCATTTTACACTCCACAGCTATTCAAACTTAATTGTCAAGGCTTTTTTCTCCCGCTAATATCCTTACAGAAAATTTGTTAAAATCCATTATTAAATAAATACTGATATAATTTCATTTTGGATCAAGGCTGCTGAAGGATTACAGATTTATTCTGCTCATTCTTATTTGCATATGGAACAACCAGCGTTCCCTCTGTAATTTCTAAATCATGACAGTTTGTTTTTAACTCCCAGCATCCAATTTTTTTGACCCAGTGCAAGTTGATTTGCCAAAATAATTAATTTGATACCTCATTCCCATCGTTCATTAAATACACAGCATCTTCACATAACACAAACATATCCACAGATGATGGCATTTTTTGTGTGACAGTCTGCTACTGCGGCCTGATCAAGATAAGGAAAATGCTCGCAGCTGCATTTGCCATATAATTAAACATCACCATCTTTTTGAGAAAAAAAAAAAACCCTGAAAAACCATTGTGAAAAAAATGTGACATCCCATTATTGAAAAAGCAAAGACTGAATCATGAGCTATTTAGAAATTCTCACTTCACTTTAGTAACAGCAAACGAAGAACTGAAGGTGAATGTTGAACAAATAACATTTTAAGTGAACCTTTATTTTGAAATTTTCTGAAACAACAAAGACATGACTTGATTCATTATGGTTCCAAATTTGACATTGCGACATTTGCTCGTTAGATATAAAAACCTTAAATATTAAAAAAAAAACAAAAAAACATTAAAAATCTTAAAAGGAAGAATACTACAATAAGACAATAACTAAGTTCAGCATGAAAGTTTGAAAAACTGCCTTAGGGCTCATTCCACTCGTCTTTTACTTCTTCGCCTGAACAGTTTTGAGATGGAGGACTTCCTCTTATTTTTGTCTCTCTTTACTCCTATTCAACAAAAGCAGTTTGTATTTGTATGATGCATTCAAATTGGAAACTCTTAAGAAAAATCACTGATACAATACTTACCAAGATTTTGCATCATTTCATTCAACTGCTGATCCTCCTCCACTTCCCTGAAATTGTTGAGAAAACTCTAGTTAAGCATTTTGTTTGAATATCAAGTTGTTATATTACCAGTACTGTATTAGTGATTACTCCTGAAATGTTACCTTAGCCTGTCTTCATCCAGACCTTCCACAATCGCATTTCTGCCGTCCACAATCGCCATCAGCCTCTGCATCAACTTGTTCTCCCGCTGTTGCTCCTCTCTGGACTTTAAATGATCTGTGATACCAAGTTGACAGACTTGTACTGTAAAAACAAATTAAAATTTTTTTAAAAAAGCCGAATTTAAGAGTCTGATCTCTTACCCGGCTTCTCCAGCAGCCTGCGAAGTTCCCCCTCAACGCCTGGCTGCTGCTGTTCCAGCTCCTGAGTCCTGGCACTAAGATTTTCAATCAAAAAGCAAAACACTGATTTATTATATTATATTACATCTTTTGTAAACAATATTGAACAAATATATTTGGTTGGACAGCTAATAAGTTTGAATTATTCCTAGTGTTAAATAAGTGTACAGCAATAACAACAAATAACTTTATTCTCAGAGGAATACCATAGAGCTGTTAATATAAATCAAGTCAAACAGACTGTAGTAGAAACCTTTGAGGTAAACACTAAACAAATTAGATACAATAATTTATGAAAGGTAATTTAACAATAAGTAAAGCAAGTAGTACTCACATGTATACAAGCTCTGATTCCTTTCTAATGTGCATCTGCTTTTTTTGAATGAGATTGAACCAGTCAACCATCAGTGGGTCCATCAATATGTCCCCCTCTCCCTCTGAAAGACAGCACCAAATTTGACAAATATGTTCGTAATACACAATATATTATAAATTAGGTATACAATCTTCAACAATGGTCTAGTGGTGGTCTAGTGTATAAGCCCTGACGGTGGCATATTGGGTAAAAATGTACCACTGGCATTTTTGATCTGCTCTGGCTAACTCGTACACACACCTTAAGTTAATGACTTGTGAGTAAATGTAATCCCACAGTGATAAATTAAGTTCAGAGAAAGCGTTCAGACAGCAATTTTGGCACTGTGCTTTTCTTCTGTCAACTAATACAGTAACTGAAATTGAAGAGTGAGCTGTAGAATAATTCTGTTTTCACAGTATACATTTTACATCATCTTATTTAATATAACAATCAAGAAGCTTCTCATCCAGAATCATGGCTCATTTTATTTTCACCAGATCAACTCTTTGTTTTTAATATGACTGTAGAAATTACACAATAATACAATTAAGTGCAGTTTTGGGATAATTTGTCTGGTATGCAGCCAGTAGGGTGCAGGTTTGTTGAGAGGGACAGTGACTCACCTCCTGAGACTGTGTCAATGCTTCACTTAAGGGACTGTAGCAGCCAATAGTTGTGAGGATTTAGTGTTTTTCCTTTGACAAATGTGAAAGTAAACTGAATATTTTGGGGTTTTAGAGTTTTGCTGGTCACACAAAGCAAGCATTTTAAATGTCACAGGAAATTAAGAGAATTGCTCACAAATTTTCTAACATTTCATGGAGAAAAACAAATTAAATTGGCAATAAATTAAATTGGCAATAATTAATATTTAAAATAATCATTAGTGGCCCCAGCACTAGCATCTATAATATAATTCCATATCTAAATGCTACCCACAAACATTGTGTTAATATGCAGGGGATGTAGAGCAACACAGAAGGAATACACAATGAGGTACAGATTTGTCTGCATCACTTAATGATTTAGCAAATTTTTAATTTTCTTTTTTCTTTTTTTTTTTTTAAAGTGTATTTTGGATTTGCGTTGAAAAAATTAAAAAGGGTCAAATACTGAACACCCAAAGTATAGTGAAGCTTTTACAAAGACAGTGATTAATATATAAATCTAAAATGTTATGGCTGTTTATTTTCCTAAAGTAGTAATCATGGTTTAGGGATTCCTTTGGTCCACCACAGTATTATGACATATACTGCAGTTCAACACAGCATCTGCTTCACAGAGTCAGACTGGATCACCTGAGTAGGTGGATCAATAGATTTTTTTTACTGATATTTGCCAATCCCAATTAGTTACTACATAAACATACACAGTCAAAGCCACATTTACAACAAGGACTGATCAGGACAGGGACTGAGGACAAGGCACTCTACATCTTGCCACCATCAGAACAAACATGATTTTATTCTGAATTGAACTTGAGTGCCAGGGTTTAGTTTTTACGACGACAAATTCCAGTTGAGAAGTAGATGATCTCCTAGGAGGTGTGCAATTGATGTCAAATTCTGGCCAAGCGATTGCATGCTCAAGCTTCCTGGGTGGCGCGCAGAAAAAAAGTATGCAATCGACTAGAATATATATTACTATACCCAAGTCATGTTGACCTTGAGCAAAGCAATCAGGCCCCCTACTCCCACTACCTCAAAAGAGAAGCACCATCCCTGTGGGCTGTCTGTGCCTCTCACCTCATTTGGCTGCAGAAAAAGTAATAGAAATGGCGGGTAAATCCCCACACACGCCACGCTCCAGCTGACTGTGAGTGAATGTGTGTAGCAACCAGGACACAACTCTGCACCAGAGACACACTCACTGAAGCAGCAGTGGGATTCAGCAGTTTGCACAAACACAATCAAATATCAAAGTTTGCGATGAGGTTATTCACTGCATGAGAGCAAAATTGGAAATTGCATTAATAGCTTCTGCCTCAACACAAGTGAGTCTTTTTAGGGACTGTTTATTTTTCACCTTGCAGATTGTTTCTGGACACGTCAACATTCAATTTTATTTGAATGTGTAAACAGGGAAAGGAAGGAAGTTCAGGGGAAGAGCAGCAAGAAGAAAGTACCTTCCTCACAGCTGCGGAGTTTCTTTTCCAGCTCCACACCCTCCTTCTCCAACTGAGCCAAGTTTGTCTCAATATCATTCAGCTCCCCATCAATCTGCTCCACTGGAATATGATAAGACTTCACCTGATATAAAACAATATAACTTAAGAGTCAAGTATAGATAACTTTAATTTGAAAATTGTGACTTTGGCCCCTTAAAACATAAAGGTTGTCCTTTTTTTCCCTGGGAGTGTAATGAAAGCATATTTGTAGAGCTGTTAATTAATCTTTTAAGAGACTTAATGGAGGGAACTTACAGAGGATGACCTCATTTCAGTCCTGGAGGCGTTGGTGGGTGACAAATACTTTCCCTTTTTAGCACCTAAGAGGTAGATAAAATAGGATTAGATAGTCCTTTCATGGCAGCTTTTCAGAAAAGCATTGTCACATATGACTTCACCTGATTTATTTTCAGTGAAAAATGACTGCTCATATGAAATCAACAAGATGGACGAAGCCATGTATGTCTGGCTTTGATGATGATATTTTTAATGAACCTGACGGATTTCCGTGATTGGCTGGAGCAGTCGTTGAAGAGCTAATAGATTCCACAGCTGGTCGTCTGGGTGGGGATTTCACAGACAAGTAACTCCCATGTCTAAAACCTAAAATAAAGATAGTAAGGTTTACATGCTGTACATCTGCAGAAAGTTTAATCTACTAATGCATTTTCAGTTTTCTGCTAAGTGCAACAGCATGTCTGTTTGGGAATCAGTGCATGGGGATGTTGCTTTTTTAATTTTCTGCCATGCTAGTGGTGTGGAGGAATGGCAATGTCTGTCTGTGTTGGTCAGTCCACCACTTCGGTCCAGACTGAAATATCTCAACTTAAACATCTTAGTCAAGGTCAAGGTGTCTGTAGTACCCGAGGGTAAAATTTAGTTTAATATGTTTTTGAAGGTTTGCCATTAAACTTTGTACAAACATTTCATGGTCCGGCCCACAACTTCTACTGTTGTGGTTCACTCTCACTGAGTCGTTTTGGTACAGCAGACAATGTTTTTTGGCGAAAAAGTTCTAGAAACCTCACTGTACACCACCTGGTCAGCACCAAACAGCAAAGAGGCACAGTTACCGACTAGCTGGTCAACAAAGTGGAGCATTTAGCAAATAAAGAGCTAGATATTTCCCTCAGGAGTTCTGAAAGACCAAATGCAGAGCTTTAAAAAAAACACAGTAGTATATTTTTATATATTAAGTATTATGTGAGTATATTTCACATACAGACATAACATATACAGATAGTCATGTTACAGAGCTTGATTTTATGGGGAACTGCCAAGACAACCTCAAAAAAATGTTACAAGCACTATATTACATACCACAATGCACCTTATTGACTAGATTAAAGTGTTTATTCAAAAGTCTTATTATAATGTACAGAGTTGACTCACCCCAGTTTCCAGAGCCAAGCTGAGGTTTCTGGGAGGAGACTTCCCTAAAGTTTGCAGGATCAAACAGAGCAGAGCTAACCAGAGGTACTATAGGGGCTGGAGCCACAGCAGGCCTTGTTGTACTGATGAAAACATTAGAGGAAGTTGTGGACATGAATCCAGGCTTATGTTGCTCAGTAAAGACAGCATCTCTGTAAGAAAGACACAATGAAATTATAATTAAGTGTGTCACCATTTAAAAATGTTGTAAAAAGTACAGTGTTCATCCATCCAGATGTAATACACCCATAGGCTGAACATAAAGAATGAAAATATGAAGAAATAAAAGGCCTCACCTTTTTATTTTGTAATGATTAAAGAGTGGTGAAAACAATTGAGGAATCATCAGCGGGAATTTGAAATGAGAGAATCTAGTGTTTGGAGGAAAAGGCCTGGCCCTCCTTGGGGTTTAGGATGGAGGAGGTTAGGATGCGGGACAGAGCTAGCGGCTGCACTCTGAGTCAGTCAACATTAACAGAGATGGACGAAGCTCGAGGATTCTGCATTTTGGAGAGTGAATAAGCTGAATGGTCAGGGATGTTTTAACACAAATCTTTCAAGTCATTTTTATCCACCTGTGTGACCTTCCCACTACCAAGGTGAGTTATGAGGTTAGTAGGTAAATGATGATTGGAGGATACTTACTTTAGACTTAGCTCGGTTTTGAGAGGCTTGAGCTTTGATTGCCACTCGTAAACTTGATCTGCAGAAAAATGATTAAGACAGAAATAGTTAAGTGAATGAATACATTAATGATGGCAAAGAAAAGCTTAAAACTACTTCATCTGTCATATGAATCAACTTGGAATCATTCTTCATTTACTTACATTATCACTTTGCCTTTTATTTTTTCCATCTGCTTTAGCAATGAAGTGAGCACTCAAAGCAGTTCTTGTACACAGCAAACAAAAAGACTCCCTTGACTTTTTTGTGTCACCCATCTGATAATGAGCAGCTAATAATGAGTGCAGCTACTGGTTTCATTATCTAGTCTCTCATAATGCACTAAAGTCATTGTTCATCACCTATACATCTGTATTTAAAGACCCAATTGATGCTTTAATCTGTGCGTGAGACAAACATCCCTCAAATGGATAAATGCACAAACTCTGTAAATTTGCCAAGAGGTCATCTTGACATTCAAGACCAAGTCCGTGGTCAATATGGGGTCCATATTAGCAGGAAACATAATTACCTCCCTGATAGGGAGACTTTTATCAAAGATGATAGTATGATGACCATTTATATTAGAAACCAACGGTAATTGTGTTTCTGTCTGAAAAGCTACGTACTGTCAGGATGCTGCAGCCATGCATGCACATCCATCCAGAGAGAATGACAGTTCAACTATGAAAGTTCATTACAAGTGTGAGACAGAAATTAAAATGTCAGTATCCAACACTGAGCTAACATCATGCTAAATGCACTGGCTGTATAAATAGGGGGAAATGACAAAAGGTCTTTGTTTTCTATGAATGTGTTCTGAGACAAACAGAAAGAATTGGGGGGGGACAGGTGGGGGTTAGATGTTGGCTAGGTGTCAAATAATGGATCAAGAATGACTGAAATGAATTTAGTATCGCTTGCCTTTGGCAGTTGTGTTTACAGTTGTTGGCCTTGTGTATTCTTTGTTGATGGCCTTCAGACATGGTGCTTCCTTATTGTTTGTCTGGCTGGTGGAGGGCTGTCCTGCCCAGTTTCCTGCTGGGCCTTGGCTGCATTTATCCTCTCTCAAACCGGGGCTGTCAGCTGAACTTGGCTCATCTCCAAACCTGCAGAGAGAGAAAGCCCTCACCATCAGCCTTAATAACAAAAGTCATTACAAAACAATACAGAGTGGGAATGATTAGAAAAGGACAGTCTGTTTGTGGCCACAGAAAGTATACAGAGTGTAGTGCTCACCGTCTCTCTGCTGATCGGATGGTGAATGGGCGTTTGTTGTTGTTGTTGCAGTTTTCTTCAGCCAATTTCTTTCCAATGGTTGTCCTTGTTCTACTTTTATCATCATGACTCAGTGGGATCTTGGGCTTTCCTAAAACATTTGATGGCTCTGTGGGCTTCCTGGTACCTGTGGAGACCTCTGTGGCTGGTGGTGGAGCCTGGAAAAACCTCTGCCGGGCCGACTGAGTCTTCTGGGCTGAGGCCGTCCAGGACTGGGAAGGTGGCATAGGGCTGACTGGCTTCACAACAATGTTCAGTGGGGCTGACAAGACAGAAGAGGGGCGTGGTGCAAGCTGGGTCTGGCTGACACCATTTAATCGGCCAGCTGAACTGGCAGGTCCATTTTTGATTCCATGCGCGGCAGGGGAAGGTTTGCAATTGTTTTGGTGGGTGTTGCAGATAGAAGTGTCTGGATCTTTCCCAGGTTTGTGGCCTCCTGCATGAAGCACGCTGGAACATTCACTGCATCTGTTGGATGTTCATTAACATAAAATTATGAATGCAATAAACAGTACATGCCAGGAAAGTATTACTGAATATAAATGCAATTCTTACTTGAAACAGCTTCTGTGAAAGAGCTTGCCTTCCACAAAGTGCCTTTGAACCAGATGAACTTGACTCTTGCATGCAACACATTTGTTATTGAGAGTCCCATTTTTGTTGCCGTTTTCGGCCAGAACTGCCTTCTGTGAAAGAAAACAAAAGCTGAGGTAACGCTATGTCCAGAAAGGTATTACACATACCTTATTAACATTTACATAACCCACCGAGAAAAAAAGAAAAAGGTAATTTCTCCTTGTTCTTAACCAATTAAAAAAGTAATAGTGTACGACAAATATGGATTGTAACATAGCCATGAATATTTGATGATGCGTTCTGACATACTGACCTGAACAGCAGCGCTGGACAACTTGGGTGAGGCATGAGCAGCGAGAGTGGAAGGTAAACGATTCTCTATGGCAGTTTTAGACACAAAGGTTTTGGCAGCCACTGGGAGATTTTTCTTCTCTGATGGCTCCTCCTTGGAGCCCTCTGCTGGCCTTTTTACACCTCCCACTGAGGAAAAGTACAACATTATGAAATATCCCACTCTAGCACAGGAGAAAAAGCAATCTGTATGTTTAAATCTAAAAAAATAAATAAAAAAAAATAAGAAATATGTAAGAAACTCTGAATTAAAGAAAATCTTATTGGTTAGGAGGACGGACAACTCCGCCTTAGCTATACGGTTTCTAAGGTAATTTGAATCAGCCATGTTCTCACTGGGAGGCCGTCCTTTGAAGTAGTTGTAGTACTGGGAGACGTAGGTAAGAATGCTTAGCCTGTCTGGGATCCTTAAAGCCAACATGTCTTCTGCATCTAACAAAGCTGGGATCCCCAACTTCTCCTCTGCGACCTGAAAAGCCTTGACAGAAAAAACAAATAAACAGTTTAACAAACAGCCATCAACTCCTGCCAAGACAACATTTAATAGTAGTGTAAGATGAACCAAGTAAACAATTTAAAAACATGTTTGCCATATAAAAACATGGTATTCGCTGGGCACAGTAATGTCAGCTCCTACAATTACTGCATGTGTAAAAATGTCAAACAATACAATCTCCTTTAAATAGACGAGCAGGAGCCTGTGGCTCGGCCTAGAGAGGTCTAAAAAGGGCTGTATAATGACTAACACACTTCCTGTGAGCTCGAAGGGATAAGAAAAAGGATGGAGGGAAAAGAATATTGGGGCATTGTTTAGGATAAGCCTGGACATGTTCATTAAATTTAAAGTAAAGCCTTACTGAATACCAAGTCTGTCAATATAAAATAAGAGCACTGAAAGCTGAAAACTAAAGCTTGTTTTGCTACAAACACACAAAAAATATTTAATGTAACAACTTGTGAAATAACCAACTGTGGGAAACATGACACTATTCATGAAATATAGAAGGGTGTGAATTACCGCACTAGTCACATTCTCCTGTTTCAGTACAGGGACCATCTTCAACAATTAGGTGCATCAAACTAAAGCCTGGTCAAAACACACTATTCTCTGGTCACAAATCTGGTTTGAAGTTATTTTTCTTGCATAACTCTGTAGAAGTACACAACAACAGTGGCTTCAAGCGAACCGTCATCATGAGGAACGAGTGGCAGATGACAGCAAGCCTCATTCAAAATGAATAGCCAGGGAGCCTCTCCCCTGAGTTCAGGTTTGTTGCTGACACTGCCGGGATCATCCAAGACAACAAGGAAGTCTTACAGAGTGCACACTGTAGCACTTTGCAGGGCCTGTAATCCTCAGAGGAAGCTGGTAAAATGGAAGAATACTATATAATGAAGAGGGCCCAGCTATGCTACCCAGGTCATGTAGGGGTTAACAAAATAAATGAGGTCAACTGGACAGAGGAAGAACTCTGTTAAAATGTTAAAACAGCTAAATATTTAACCACTCTGCTGAATAAGTACAGAAATACAGTATGCTGCTGGCTGTGTCCATGTCTCTGAGGTTAATGAAGTGGATGTGCTGCTACATCACATTGTGTAGCTCCAGTATGAAGTCACTTGCACTCAATATGACAATAGGGTTCAACAACTTGACAACTTACCAGTCTGTTGTTCTCAAACACATCCTCCTTTCTGAGTGAGTCATAGTCTCTGAGAAAACAGAAATACAATAAACCGAGAGAGAAAGACAGAATTTATATTTATGAAGGAGTCATCTTTCTGATAACTTCCTGATAAGAAATAAAATGTTTACAACCAGAACTAACTAAAGACCACTGAAAAAACGTGTATAAAGTTTAGAGGAGAAAATCGAAAATCACTACTAGGTAGACTAAATAGTAGCCTACTAAAGACCAATAACTACACAATTATTGCAGTTTGGGATGGGACAGGCTACCCCAGGACATAAAACTTTCGTTAAAGCTAATATTGGGCTACTCATTCAAACTAAAGAAGTTCACCTAGATTATGACATTCTTTTCTAAGTAAAATACTTACATCAGGTCCGGTCTGTATTTGTGTATAAGCGCACAAAAAGCTAGTCCGTCCCTGAATGAAGTCGTCATGTTGGTGATGGCCACATCTCGGTAGCCATCACAATGCATTTTACACCACTGCTCCAAAGCCTTGATGGCAGCCATAGTCCCAGCGCGTCAGAGACACAGTGAACTCAGTAACGTTACAGACGAAGTGTGCAACAGGCAGAGGTTTCAATGTGGAGGAGCCGGAGGAAAGACAGATAAAAAAAAAAAAGTCTCTGTTCAGGATTTGACCGTGAACTGCGTCGCTGCAGCTGCGTCCTGTTTCCTTCTTCCACCTGAATGACAGCCGAGTCTGCGGGACGAGCCGGTGGTGTGTGTTTCTCAGCTCATTTCACTAATTGACACCATCTGCTGATTCGTCGTTCGCAACTGTTGGGTAAAATAGTTGAAAGGTAAATAATAGTTTTTCTGGTGTTTAGTTGTCAAAGTTGTCCCAGAAAGTAATTTAAAATTAGTGCCAAAAATTGGCATTGATTTAAAATTAGTGCCAAAAATTGGCATTGACCTAAATTGCAAGTCCTCCACAATTATATGTTGTGGAGTGGTCTTATCATATCCAAAATGAGGTTTTATTTTTGAACCACTTGACATTAGGCTACACTGTCTTTAAATTAAACATATTAAGTCTGCTTCTGCATCAGCTCCCAGTATGCAAGGTAAATTTCAAGTTAGTCCTCTTTTATGCTTAATCCTGCAGACAGTACCAATGAGTGACAAGGTTGGGTTTGTCATTCAAAGATGTCATGTTACAGTGTTCACAGAGAGCCTCTTATGTTGAAAACACAACCCTCAAATGTGACATTTTGGCAAAATATCACAGTTTTTGCTTGTGATTACTTTCTAATTACAGATTAGTTCTGAGCCTCCAGTCTGGAGTGGCCATCTGGATTTGGGGAAATTAAATGCAAGATGCAGTGTCCATATGGTTAAAGTCAAACTGAAAAAGGTCCAGATGCCTCTCAACATTTTATTTTATTTTGTTATATTTTACATTTGGTGGGGCATAGAAACATTTATTTCATAGCATAGGGCCAATCTGACAAAGAATACTGCTGTGCTGTTTTATTTCTGTTGTAATCTCCCCTTAGGACAAAAGCCTCAGCTGTCATTTCCATGTAGGTTATATGGATATTTACAATCATATTTTCATTTAATGCCTCATGAAGTTCATCTTTATTGGGTCTCAGTAAAGGAGTAATATTCTGTAGGATTTCTGAAGTAATTAAACACCAGACTTGCTATCTCAGCAAGCATATCGGGGTCAGCGAGCAGTATGAGAACCAAGAACAGAATCTATGGCATGCATTTTTTTTTTTTACCTCAGTCATCTTTTGTGTGGGGCCTAATTGGGGAGTAATTGAGGCCAACTATTGTCACATCAGGTTTCTGACCTAATTAGCCCACATTATGATGTCCCTAAATTTTTTTTAGGGAAAACTTCTAACTTGATTTCTTAGCTTTCATATATGGAACCGGTTAGGAAGAATTATAGTCATAAAGTTTGTTAGAGAAGTTTGTGAGAAAGCCTGATGAGTCATTCCACCTAAACAGGAAAGAAAATAATTAAGGATCTCTGACTCTTTTTGGAAAGAAGTTTCAAATTTGACCCAGAAACCTCATCAGTAAGTGTCCAAACCTCTGACACGGGCAATGTAATTAGTGTGAAACCAGAGTCTTTGAAATGCGAGCGACCCACACTGACCTCATTCACTGTAAGACATAAATTGTTTATTTGTTTGTAACAGTGTCTCCAAAAAAATTAAGCAGAGTAACACAGCTTTACACTTTACACTATGCTCCACACAACAAATAAGAGATGTTGGAAGAAGGAAGTGTATATATGCATTAGTTGGATTTTAAAAACGCTTACCTTGTCTCATCTGTCCTGTCTAAGGACATCGTCATGCCCAGAAGGGGGCAGCGTCACACTGCACTGTTAAGACTCACCACTACAAACTTGTGGTCAAATACATAAACAATGCATTCAAATAGACAGTGCTAGTATAATTTGCACAGAAGTATGTAGCAAAACCTTACATAAGACTTCAACTAGAATCATGCCAGCACACAAACTATACAAAGTGTGCATTCAGTACAGTCAATGTTATGAAAAAAAGCCCTTTTTATCATCCATCACGTATATTATCTAATATTATCTATTGTTTTAGTTCTATATGCCTTACTGTTGTTCACACTAACATGTGAAAATCACTAATAATTCACTCTGATATTGTGCAGATATGGGTTTCATAACCAGAAATTTGCAAAACAACAGTGCTGGTTGGGCCAAAACCAGATAAAAGTTTTTTTTAAAGTTCTACATTATCTCAAAATTTGTGACTTCATCATTTATTTACCACAGCTGTTGTGAATAATTATTTCATTCTGATGTTATCATTTTGCATTTGTTGATGGTTTATCTTTATAAAATGAGCCCTTAAATTTCCTTCTCTTTAGATTCACAGCTCTTTATCTGCTTCTGGTGCATATAGTTTTAAAAACATAGACATGCATCATCTATATAGACTTACTCTTCATGATTTCATTTTTCAGCTATTTCCATTGTTTCCTTTGAGGATGTGTGGCTGCATGCAGACATCCTGCCTGTCGGTGAACGTAACCCGAGAGGTCAGGGAGGAGATTTTCATCTGTGAAATCATTTAGAAATGATTTGACTGTATCCCATTTCAGCTGTGCCCTGATACACTGAGATGATAAGGGGACACCATTTGTCATTTTCAAGACCTGGCATACAGGATGTGATATTAATTTAGTTGACAACCTAAAAACTTTTAAGATGTTTTAAAAATCACTTTCAGAATATACAGCAACACAAACTGCACATGCATGCGAATTTAAGTAATTCAAATAATGTAGGGTACAGAAATGTTTTACAATTCTATAGTTTTATCAAAATGGACAAAACAGCAATACATGAGAAAAGAAATTTTAAAAATAGAAAATGTCACAAAGATGTTATTTGCAATGTACCATAAAAATAAAATTTAAAAAGATTACAATTTGTTCATAATTTTACAGAGGATAACTATTATTTTATACTGCAAGAAATATTTTATTAATAATGGCTAAATAATTAAGCGCCTCGTCCCAGGTAGTTTTGTTCCAGCATAGTAATAGTATACACTTTTTTTTAGTTAAGATTATCTGTACAAACAGGAAGAAGGAAAATGATCAATCATTGTGCATGGCATCAGCTTCCTGTGTTTGTGACTGTGTGTTGCCTCCTGACATGTTTACAGTGCTGTGGATCTCTGCCTCATGCTCTCTGGCTTTGGCCCTCAACTTGGCGATGCTGCAAGAGCGGAGCTCCTCTGAGGTCGGCCCCTCCAGCCTCGCCCACTTCCCTGACCTCTGGGTCACAGGCTGCATATGCACGCTCAGCGCAGCAGTCACATCTTTTGTCCATGGATAGTTTTCTCCGTCCTGTCGTCTCTCCCAGTGCTCGCCATCTGAACTCTCTGTCTGCTGTTTTAAAGTCCTGCTCGGTGTCTCAGGCGTTTCATCATTGTCTCTTTTTACATAAGGTCCTGCAAGCTGGCCCTGGAGTTTCAGCTGTCGTCTCATCTTGGCACGGCGGTTTTGAAACCAAACCTGGAAACAAATGAGAAGTACTGTTGATGTTTAATCCCATCTTTCATAGTATAAATAGTATGCAGGAGGAACGAGTACAGAAACCAATGACTGTTTCAATGTACATCCAGGTATGTGAGCTTTGTTTTCAGACACACTTGTGAACCTATCCAAGCTATATGATATTTATATTGATCCAAAACAGAACAAATAGTACCAAAATATAATGCATTTCCCCAGAATTCATTGTGACATTTTTGGTAATGTTGAAAGCTTTGACATCTTGAATAGAACTGAATTAAGAAATAGGTCTATGGAGTCCATAGAGCTAAATAGATTAATTTGCACACTGCAGAAAAATTTATATCAGCTGAATGAAGTGAACATTTCCAGAAGGAGTTCAACATGCCAATTACCTGTACTCTGGCCTCAATGAGGTCCAGTCTGACGGCGAGGGCTTCCCTCATGAAGATGTCTGGGTAGTGGGTGGTCTCGAAGGCCTTCTCCAGCTCCTCCAGTTGCCAGCTGCTGTAGTTGGCTCGTGCACGACGCTGCTTCACTGGCCTCTGTTCATCTGGAAAGCACAGCGCAAGCACCAATTACACAATCGCCAACGGGTGGCAACAAACTAATGGCTCTAGATTGGATAATTAGCGCAGCGATCATTAGGCCCACTTTAACACTGCTTGATAATTGATTGTTAGTTACGAGCTGTTAGCTAATCTTTTGTAAACATTTACACTGCAATCAGATGGTGCTCACTGACTGTCTTAGAGACTGTGGCCATACAGTGCCAGTTTGGCTGTGTATCTGTCTGCACAAATCCTGTGTTGAACAATCTGTCCCTTTTTGTCCACAGCAGCTGTGGTTTGAACTCACCTATGCCCTCTGTGAGTGGCCCCATCCCGACTGCCTGTGTGGCCAGGAGCAAAGCTTCCTTGCATGTCTCTGGCTGCAAATAATTCCTCAAGGATTCATAGCTGATAAAGGGCCCTGGGATCAGGATCTGAGGTTGGGAACCCAGCCTGCTTGGGAATGCAGGGAAAAAGTGAGCTGCAGGTGAATGGAAAACTGCAGGCAGGAGAGTAGACACCAGCTGCCTTGGGCCAAACATGTCCAAGCTATTAAGAGTCCAATATTAAGTCTCAGTCCACTGAAAAGGGCCAGGTTGACGCCTACAGGGATGCTGGTGGATTGGTGAAATGCATCCCAACGTCCAGAGTAAAAAAGAAAAGAATTATGATCGTCCACCAGATGTATCCTGTTAGAGCTGCTGTATGTAGCTGAGGTGCTCAGTGCAGGTATAAGGTGTTGCCTGAAGAGTTTAGGTAAGACCTGAATAGTGGAGGTGGTCTCACCTTAGCATTCTACTCTTCTCCTCCAATCCTCTCCCCCTCCTTTTCTGGTCACATGATCTCCAAACAGACGGCAGGGCTTGCTTTATAGGACAGAGGTGAAAATCCAACCTGTGAATCATCTCTCAGAGGATTATCAGTATTACTCCATCAATGTTTGCTGTGTTCGTCATTACTTTCCCAACCACACGTGTTCTCAATCTGTTTCTTACATTATAGTGATTTTGCTCTCTCTTCCTACCTGGGACAAGTTGCAACATCTTTGGCTTCTGAAATTTCAATCAGTGAAATGGACAGGAGCTCAGCGTGTGAAAACTCAGTTTTGAAGAAGTGTGCTCATTTAGACACGTTCACCTCAAAGATTTACACAACCTTTATCTGACAGGTTTAACAGTTGTGAAATATAATAAGAACAAATGACTAGAAAGGAGACATAATGAAAACACAAAACACTGTGGGATGAAAACAAGCACAAACGCAGCAGACTTTGAATAGCAGGTTCCAGGATAAACCCACTCTTCCTGACAGTATAGTGACGAACTTGAACACTTATTTGCTTAATGTTTTAATCCCTCCTGGGAACCCCTGTGTTTGTTGATTTAATTGTATTGTTTTTAAGTCCTAAGTAACATAAGTTGTGATGTTTTGATTTATTTTCCACATCACCAAGACAGGCTGTGCAAAAATTATCATGTCTGTTAACCTTCAAAGCAATCCACTTAATGAGCAGTAGCAGAGACACAAATCCCTTCTTAAAATGACAGGAGAAATCCACTGATGAAATATTAAATGAGGTAAACCAGGTGTAATGGCAGTTTAACACCTGTAAGAATAGCAAACTACTGAATTATTGTGATTAGCTGCTACAGTAGTACAAATGTGTATTTTGCATGTCATGCTTTTAATCCTTGTTATCAAGGATTCGTTTTAATGGTCATTTTACAAAACATGGTTGTATATTGAAATTTATGTTTGTAGCCCCTTTATGCATTATACATAAACACAAACAAGACAGAGCAAAACATAATACAAAATTATTAATTTCTATGGCGTGAGGGGGATGAATATAAAAGTCTCACAGCTTGGGGAAAGTAGTTGTTCTGGAGCATGGTGCTATGGCAGCAGATATTCTGTATCTCTTGCCAGATGGAAGCAGGGTGAACAGGCTATAGCTGGGGTAGTTGGCACCCCACCAATATCACTGATGCTTGGTACATGGGTACCAATGATGTTATGGGTGATCACCTACTGCAGAGCCCTCTGGTCTTGCGCCGTGCACAAACCATGCAAATTTGTGATGTTTCCAGTCAGAAAGCTTTCTATTGCTCATCTGTAAAAAGCCGTTTCTGAGCTTTCTTAACCAGGGTGGACATGTGAGATGACCATGACAGGTTCTTTGTGATACTGATTCCCAGGAACCTGAAACTGTTCACCTGTTCCACCTCAACTCCACTGATGTAAACAGGAGTGTGTCTTTATCTCCTTTTTTCCAAAACCAACAATCAGCTGCTTATACATGTCATCTTTATATTTAACACATAGGCACGTCTTGGAAATGTTTTATGAGCAACCCATTTAAAATTCAAAATAGTTTGTTCCCTAAAATCTTTTAGTGTAGCTGTCGAATAAATGTTATATTAAAAGGAATAAAGAAAATCCTGTAAAATAGAATAACGTAAAGTTTTTGCCTAAGTGCTAACCCCAGCTTGTGCCTCTCATGTAATAGTATAAGCATTACATTCGAGTCGCAATGCTATGCATCAGTTTCTTTAAAAGAAGAAAATGCCCAGCAATACTTAGAAAACCCAAACGGTCCATTAACAAAACCAAGGTTCTGGAAGTACTTCCAGTCTCCTCACAGACTGTGAGAAAAAAAAATGTCTGTCTTCTACACCGAACAAAAGTAGTAACATGTTACCATATTTGTTTTGATTGGGGAACAAAATTGCAACTTGAGAAATGGGTTTAAAATCTTTTTTATTTTGCAGCAAGTAGATTTTCTTTTCATCACAGACATGGTCTGAAATGATCAAATATATTTTCTTATCTTTTTCAGACTGGTATTTGTCTTTCAGAGAAGCTGATTCCTCCACTGTGACTCAAATGTAATGCTTATAAATGAGAGGCACAAAGTGGGGTTGCCCAAGTGCATTCAGTCCAGACCTGAGGTAAAACAGAGAGTTAACTTAAACTTATGGACTTTTTGATTTGTGGCATATTTTTGGTGTCAAACTTGCTAGCAAGAGGTTGCCAGATTGGAGTCTAAGTGGAACAGCTCTAGATAACTTTAGTCAGATGTTTGTACTTATTATTAATGTTACACCCTGTGTTTGTTAATAACTGATATCCTGCAATATAATGATATATTCTTACCATCATTGTAAAGTACGTAGACAGTACTGTGTTACCAAACTCTTACAGGATTTTTCCATCTCAGATCAAAGTATACACATCAACACATTAGCAGCCAAGACAGGAAGATTATTAACACTTTTTTCTTTGAGCACGGCAGCTGTAGCTTAGTGTTGATGGATCTCTGATGAGATGATTGCCAGCACTGTCTAGGTGAATTAAACACAGGTGTGTCAATTAATCCGAAGATACATATCACCTAACAACACATCTCGCTAACTGCTCATCAGCTCAGATGGTGGTGAAAACTTTCAGCTGTCAGTGTTGTCACAGCTGAACTGGCGGGCTGAGCTGGCTTTGATCAGCCCCAGACTGCTGCAGGAGGCAGCTGGTCAGAGCTGAGGTGAGTCACAGGATGGTCATTCCTCTACAAGCAGCAAGGACTGCAACTTGCTCACCTGCGGCCCTTTCATCTGCACCTGTTCAAACACTAAATAAAAGTCTTAGTGGAGGCAAGAAAGAGGTCAGTATTAGGATTTGACTGATTTGGATATCTTTAAAGCGTATGTTGAGATTGAAAGCTGATACTTAATCAAATTTAGGTCTTTTTATGTCAAAAGAATTGAAGATTTACAGTGCGTTTCATAATTTGAGAGAACTCTCCAGTGAAACTAACAAAATATGTTTAGCATTAGCATCTTTTTATAACCTTAAAATACATTACTGAAATGGTATGTTGAAATAATAAAAGTAATTTATGCTCCACATTAATTTAATGTAGGTGAAGGGAGGACCACCATCAGTGGACGACATAACCAGCCAATTAAAAACAACATTTCACACTTCAGTCTGTTTGTGTGAATGCATGACGGAGGGAATGGACAGACAGAGATTGAAAGAAATCATTTCTTAGGTTTACAAGTTCTCCAGGAAAAGCAAAAAAGATTAAAAGTGTCTAGCTTGAGCTGTGGTTAAATAAACAGTGTGTGTGGTGGGACTGACGACAGAATAGCCATCTCCGTTTGTCCCTGGCACACAGGTAGTTACAGGGATTTCTGCTGTTTGAAAGTAGACCCCCTTCTCCCACCCCCTCCAAGTACTATGTTTGTCTTTGCTTGGGTCCTTTAATGCCCGTTGATCCAGATAATCAGGGACAAAATTGGTGAAAAACCAGTGGGGGGAGGTTCTGACAGTAGTTGCTCAAAGAGCTGCTTGTGGATAATTGAAGGAGGCATTAAGACAACAATAGTAATGGCTAATGCTGGGTCTTATTGGTCTCTCAGGTATTTTTAGCTCCCTGGATGACAAGGCAACATCGGAGATCCACAGCTAAAATGGCAATCATCTTATCATTAGCAAACCTTCAACTGCAGGGACAGAATGTGCATTATCCGTGGGTTTACCAAGCCACCAATGGGATGCCCTTCAGATGGCTTAAGCTGGAAATGGACTTGTTTGAGCTTGCATTCATTCATTACAAAGTATAAGGAAAGGAACATCAGAAATCCCCTCAAATGTGTGTTTTTGGATCTCCGATAACAGAATGATTAAAACACCTAAAGCCCCCCACCAAAAAGAGTGTTTTGCTTATTGCTACTTCACTTGGATATTTGACTGTCACTGTGCAGAATGATGTATGATAAAAGTTTAACAATAGAAGGTTCACGGTTCTGTGTTCACGTTTATCTGCTGGAGAGAGAAAGCTTCTCTGTGCTTAAATCTGAGTGTATGACATGTACACTCAAGCATGATTTTGTGACATCTTGTTTGGAAGCCAATCATGGTCCAATGTGCAACTTACACAATTGTGATGTAGAAACTTCAGCCTCCTGTTGAATTATTTTATGAAGAAAAAAAAACACCTTTTGGCCACGGTAGCAGATGTAAGTTGTGAACACAACATTGACATACAGTCACTGGCCACTTTATTAGGTACTTGCTTTGTTGCTTGTTACCACAAATAGCTAATCGGTCAATTACATGGCAGCAACTCAATGCATTTAGGCATGTAGATGTGGTCCAGACAACTTGCTGAAGTTCAAACCGAGCATCAGAATGGGGAAGAAAGGGGATTTAAGTGACTTTGAACGTGGCATGGTTGTTGGTGCCAGACGGGCTGGTCTGAGATTTTCAGAAACTGCTGATCTACTGGAATTTTCACACACAACCATCTCTAGTGTTTACAGAGGATGGCCCGAAAAAGAGAATATACCCAGTGTGGTGCAGCTGTGTGGACTAAATGCCTTGTTGATGTCAGAGGAGAATGGGCAGAATAGGCAACGATAACTCAAATAACCACTCGTTACAACCAAAGTATGCAGAATACATTCTCTGATTGCACAACACATCGAACCTTGAAGCTGCCACTCCTGTCAGCTAAGAACAGGAAACTGGGGCTACAATTCATCCAGGCTCCACAAAATTGGACAATAGAAGATTGGAAAAATGTTGCCTGGTCTGATGAGTCACGATTTCAGCTGCGACATTCAGATGGTAGGGTCAGAATTTGACATAAACAACATGAAAGCATGGATCCATCCTAGCTTGTAATTGGTAATTTTCTTTGCACCTTAGTACCAATTGAGCACTGTCTAAACATGAGCCTACCTGAGTATTGTTGCTGACCATGTCCATCCCTTTATGACCACAGTGTATCCATCTTCTGATAGCTACTTCCAGCAGGATGATGCACCATGTCACAAAGCTCAAATCATCTCAAACTGTTTTTCTGAGCATGACAGTGAGTTCACTGTACTCCAATAGCCTCCGCAGTCACCAAATCCCAATCCAATAGAGCACCTTTGGGTTGTGGTGGAACGGGAGATTTGCATCATGGATGTGTAGCCGATAAATCTGAATTGAGGCGTTTCTTAAGGGCGTCCAACCCGTTACTAACGAGGTGTACCTAATAAAGTGGCAGGTGAGTGTATTATCACCTTTTAAGTTGATTATGGTGAACGTTTTTAGAAAAAGTTTCTTATTTACATATCAAGCAGATACGGTTTGATATTATCATTCATTTGGAGTCATGAGCTCTTTTTGTGGAAATATCTCTGGCTCTAAATGCTCTACTATCTTCACCATCTAGCCGCTAACCGTGTATTCCTGCCATTTGGAAGGCACAGTGGTTTCAATGAAAACAGCTGCCTGGTGTAGCTGAAAATAACGCTATGAGAGCTGTAAGAGTGAACTAAAGCAATAAAGTTGTGGGCTCTGTAAAGCCAAAGATTTTCATCGCTACAAGTGTCCCTTTTCACATTCGGATACATTGTTATTATAAAGATATTAATTGTACCCAAAATAAAATATAATTTGTTGCAGAAAAACACTTTCAATTAGTTGAAATTTGAATTAAATGACGTGGGCTATTTCCCCCCTTTTTTCCTTGACAGACTTGGCTGAAGTGGATTAACTATCACACTCTGCCCTCAGTGTGATAAGATACAATCTCACATAATGTAGATCGTGAACACTGCACATTATTATTCTTTCTCATCCACTACAATGGCACTTGAGCCCATAAAACAAGAGTTCTGCCAAATGTCACGCAAAGATGGATGATTATCATCAGCTCCACTGTCATGGGAATGTATCTATCTGGTGTAATTTGCAGGCTGGAACAGCAATGAGCACAGATAAGATCAATATTTAATGAAAGTGTAAGTGAAGCTTAAGGGTTGTCACTTATGCCTCTGCTGTTAATGACATGTCACATTATCATACTTATCAGATTGGGTCAATCTTAACTGCAATTACTGCCCTCATTTCTTTTTAATTCATTACAAATGTTGAATCATTTCAGTCGTCCACCTCTGTGCAAACACACTGGGAATGTATTCTCTGGCTGCTTGCATATGTATTTTAGTGTTAACTGCCTGCAAAAACTTAAAACTTAAATCTATTAATGGGAGCATGGATTGGTATAATTCAATCAACACACCTAAAATGTGTTTGTAACTTGGAAGAAAGGTGTATTTCATGGCTGAGGAAGCCCCTATGCTTGGTGCCTCACTCTCCTTGGTAATAGTATCCCACAGTGAGCACGCTGATTGTTTTAGTCCTGGATCACTGGCCATGGGATAAACCTGAGAGCCCAGCCTGCTTTTCATGTCAAAACCTTCAAGGGAAAGCAGCCACAATCCAAGAGCAATCACACTTGAGACATCAAAGTGCCAGGGAGAAGAGAGGCGAGAGACGGTCCACATTTTTTCCACGCAAGCCAAGTGCAACTCAAGCGTGGAGCAAGAGGAGATGATCTAAGGCGAGGGTGCCATTGAGAGGAAGACGGAGAGCAGACAGATGTGTATGGGCAGGTAGCGGCACATCAGGGCCCCTCCTGTAGCTGATACACCTCCGCTGGCCGCATTCCTGCTCGCTGCATATTCACTGTCCACTTTCACATGGGCAGGATGACCCACTGACAACCACTGCTTTTGGGAAAAATATTTTGCAATCTAACATTCCCATGGTCAGTGCAGGAAGACTTATTCAATGTTAAAATACTCCATTACAAGTTACAAGTGCATTCAACATTTAACGCAAAAGTGGGTTTAAATACCCAATTACTATCAGCAAAATTTGCTAAAAGTGTGAAGTGAAAGTACTCGTACAGAAATGTCCCCTTTGAGTGATGCCAAAATGTGTAGGCAAAATTTTAACTTCTACTTTATATGCAGTTTGGTAGTTTAGTACAAGCTCATCCGGAGAGGATTCATACAGAAGGAAAGAAGAAATACTGAAGTTCATATTTTGGATTTTTTTACTTTTTTATGGAATGTATGTGAAATATTAGACAATTAAAATGTTTTGGTTCTTGAACAGCTATTCAAATGAACCTATCTGTGAAGTTTAGAAGGGGAATCTTTGTTGGAACTGCACGACATCTGAAACATGACATGGGGCCCAAACTAGACACTGCTTTTTTGTAAGGGGCGACAAACCAAAAAGGATTGAAGCCACTCGTTCTGTATTTTGTAAGATTGAAATGAGTTTTTTTTTTTTTATGTAAAATGTTAATCTGAAAAGTAACAAGTAGCAAAACTAAAGATGTCGAATAAATACATGAGTAAAAAGTGGATATTCTACCTCTGAACACTGAGTGGAGTACAAGTATAAAGTAGCAGATAACATACAGATACCTCACAACTGTACTTGACTAAATGTACTTAGTTACTTTCTACTAATGTACTATGAAGATATTTTATTACCATGCAGCAAAATGTTCAGCATGAACAAATGAGCGGTTAGCTTGTAGCAGCTGCATTTGAGGGTATCCAGCCTAGCATGATGAATAAAGGCAGAGGTTGTTAACTTGTCAGTGGTCCCTCAGACTATTCAGCAACAACCCCACCCCACCTCCCTCCACACCCCTCCCACCACTTCCTCGTTAGCTGTCATTCATCTCTGTTCCGCCTCACTGCTGCCCAGCCAATAGGATGCTGGCGCCTGACCAAGAGCCCAGGCTGCTTGGACTTGTGTAGTAAGTTGATTGATAACTATAAACAGAGCTTTTGGCTAGTTATAGGACACCATACAGGTGCAATTAACACATCAGAAAGAGCCAGCAGAGAAAGACCAGCAAGTCTAAGGCACGATGGGTAGGACATGATTGGGTTTACATATGAATAACGTTAATTATAGGGATGGACGTGTGACTACATATTCATTAAAGGGGATTTGGAGGCATCACGAGGGTTCAGAAGACAAAAGGCACATATATAATATATTCAAAGTATCTTGGATTTTAATGCTGTACGACTTCTGTCACAAAATAAGCCTATATATTTTTTTTGTTGCCAATACAGTTACCTGGAAACCTGGTTTTCATTTTGTCCTTGTTTTACACCTGCCTTAAGTTGGCAGTTATAGATGAAACTTTAAAGTATTTTGACCTCTAGCCTTGTTTACTGTGCTACATCTCAAGAAAAACTGCATTAATGTAGTCTGAGACAACCGGTTTTCAGCCATCCTGCCCATGTGTCTTATTGAATGCTTATTCTTTCTGAATGATAGATTCCACTGACCCACCAGTGTGGGCATGTCTCACCCTCAGTGAGAATTGTAAACCATGCTCTGGCTACATCTTCATGTCCTCCTATGTAACAAAACACCAGCAGCAGTCTGAGCTTTAAAATGGCTTACCCCCATCACGTCTTCAAAGCACCCTTTGGTCTGTGTGATTGAACAATTACCACCATGGTTAATTTACTATCAATAGGGACTTCCACTTTCCTAGTTTACCGGCATGACTACGCGTTGTTTAACTTGTCCGTTTGACACTATCAAGAGGTTTTCGGATGAAGTCAGTGGCACTGGGCAAAACAACTGACACTTTCATGGCAAAATGGTTTCCATCACAGCATGTGCATCGTGCCTTTAATTTGTCTGTTACACGCCAGTGAAGAGCAAGCGTACCCATGACAGCTGCTTCCAGTTTTATCAGGATCCAAAAATTATTGGAATGAAATGAAAAGCCACAAACCTCGCAGCATTTATTTTCCCCCCTTCAATCTTGTTTGAGGTGCTAAAAAAATTTTTCTGAAAGGTAATAATGGCATCTCATGAAATTTGTGTTTTTACAATTTCCACTTTAAACTGCTTTCCAATTTAACTGTGGTGAAATGTCTCCATTGAATTCCTGAACTACAGTGGTTAACTGCTGAAATATGCTACAAAATTAACTTTCTGTCAGGTAAAGCTGAACAAAAAAAAAAAAAAAAAAAATGCATATTCCAAATATTATTGTTACTTTATTGAGTTGGTGCCTCACAGATGGTGTTCAAGTAACACAAGGGCATTGTCACATAAAAAATTAACATTTCTTTTCAAATATTTAAGGAATTCAGAATTGCATTCAGACAATGCCACATTTGGTCATTTTGGCTTCTTTGTCTTTTTTGAATTTGAAAGTCAGTAAAGTTACTAAATTACATCCCTTAAGTAATACAGTGAGACATTCCAATAGCATTTGGTATCAAGTCAGACTTGGACACTCGTTTGTTTTTTTATGTAAAATTATAGCAAAATTGCTACCATACTGATATATCACTGGATGGGGGCTTTTGTCTTTTACATGTTCATTTAAAAAACTACAAATTAAGCTTACTGTCAGCTTTTCAACAGTACAATAATGTTGATATTTTGTTTTCAAACTATTAAAAAGCTGAAACTCTGTAGTTTGTAATAATGTATCTGTTAGTAATATAATAACTGCAAAAACTCCCTCTAAATGTTTGAAATGCAATAACAGTCATTTTAATTTAAATTTAATTAAACCATTAAAAAAAAAACTAAAATATTTATTATTTCAATATTCATTGAATAGGTTTTGTTGACTCTGACTCCAATTCCGTATATTCAGTGTCGTTAACTGATTCTATAATAACACCACCTAATATTCTCCTTATCTTTTTTCATTATTGGTTAATGTATCATTACATCATCAGTCAAAATGACTTACATCCCTAAAGAAGTAATAAATGCACTAATTGTGGCATTATTACAATAACAGGATTTTTACAGTTTCAATAATTACATTTTCAACTCATTTAGAGGGAATTTTAATACATTATTTGAACTCACTGAATTATCCAGAAGTTATTATATTACTGGTAGCTAGCAACTCACTGGAGGATCCTTAATCTGTACCTCTGACGAGCCACAGAGTTCGTTAATGTGTCTTTATCAATTACAGCAATGTTTGAACTAAAGGCAATAAAAAAAAATTTAGCTCTGGAATGCAGAAAATAAATGACACCATTCTCAACGGGGGGGATGTGGAGTTGTACACTTGTTGGTTGTTATGTTGTTGCCTCCATGTGAAGGACCTTCATAGACTCTGAGATCATTGAACTGGTGTCAATTTGTCCATAGATGCCGACTAAAAACGCCTTGTGGAGTAAGATGTCCGCGTGTTCTGTGAGGAGGAAAAAAGCACATTACAACATGCAGCGATGGATGTGTGACTCTGATTAGGACCTTGGGTGCATGCTTCGTTAAACCACATTGCAGAGAAAATGTTGCATGGTCATGCGATTATAAGATGAGACTGACACGGACGGCAGTAACTGCTTCTTATCAGATCACTGTCAACGAGAATCTGACTAAAGAGTATTCGCTTACCTTGACAGAGAAGCACATATTCTGGAAGATTCCTGAGAGCCGTCTGTACCACGTCGAAGCTACCACTGCCCATACAGTACATGAAAGTTGGCAGGAAGTCTGTTGCCAGGCTGCACCATTGAAAACATACATTATTACATCGTGAAGAGCAACAAATGGTAACAAATGAAAGTATGCAGACAGGTGGACTGAACATTGATTGATAGATCTTCTTTATTTATTTCCACATATGTCCTCTTAGTTCCAGCATGCTTGCTGTGGTTGATTTGTCCCAGAGTGCTGCAAACTTACCAGGGATTATTCTGGATGCAGCGCAGCGCCAGAGTGAAGGCCATGTTCCGACACAACTCCTCAGAGGAAACCATGAGTCTCTGCAGATCATTCTACAAACAGTGACATAAGGTGGTGATCGACATGTTACACATCGAGGTACTACACTTGACCTTTTCTTTATTTCTGTTGTTTATGACTCACAATGAAGTACTGGATGATCTCTGGGCTCCTCCTTGACTTCTCATCCACCTCTGTCAACACTTCCAACACATCTATAGCAAATAAATGATACAGCATTTATACTAGGGATGAAACGGTATGAAAATTTCATTTCATGATTATAGTTACCAAAATGATCACGGTTATCAGTATTGTCACGGTATTGTAAAAATGTGCCAAAAACAATTAAAATGTACTGATACACACTGAAACCATTTGAACAAGTTTTATATTGAAAACTACAAATACAATTGCCATTTTGTTTGCATAAAAAATAAAACAACAACAGCAAATAGCCTACCTTTTGTAAACAAATAAAAATCATCTAATTGTGCATTATGAAGATTTTATATTATATAGGCAATACAATGTCCCGTGGACAATTACATGAAAACAAATAAGTCTTTAGAAGACAGTGATAGTAACTGCAATGAGCCCAAAAACTGACAAATACAGAGGAGCCTGTAGCATTTATAGATATGCTGGCTGGTTGACTAAACAGCGTAACGTGTTATCATGTGCAGTGGACGAATAGACTCTGCCAACACACGACGCACACAGCAACAGAACAACGTGTAGCGTTTTACAAGAGCAGCAACACTGAGAGCTTCAGTTTACACGCTGTTAGCAAGTCGGAGAGACCAAAGCTAAAAGTTAACTCACACTGCGTTCACTGTAAGGTTATTTTCTTCAGTCAAGTTTCCCTCAGCGCTCTCATAAAAACTAAAATACGACCGGACTTCAGAGTGACTGAAAAATCTCCGTAGCGCTGTCTTCCGCTGTGTTGTCATTGACCCAAACAAACCCACGTTGCATTCTGCACTTGCGCGCCTGCTTCTGGGAGACGCTGGACAGTGTTTGCTGTGAGATTATAACAGTGTGGTAACCGTACCTGGTTATCATGGTAATTAAAATGTGTACGGTAATAATAACCATCGGGAATTTTACCATGGTTTACCGTTAAACCGGTAATTGTTTCATCCCTAATTTATACATGTGAAATTGCTGCAGAGATATGATAGTTACCCTCAACTGCCTCTCCTCTCGACATCTTTTTCAGGTACATTGTCATGTCTGCCGCACTTAGTGAAACTGAGGCAGATATGTTAACAAGGGGCAGAGAACCTGTGGCCAAGTCGTCTGGTGAAGAGAAGAAACAATTATTTACCAAAATTGTACAGACGTTTCCAAGAAAAGAGCACAGCAGTGGCACCAAATATCAAGACATAAGTAAATTATTGAATTTATTGAATATTTATTTTTTAAGATTTAAATGAGCAGCAGTAGCTCAGTCCACAAGGACTTGGACTTGTTCAGTCCAGCATGGATCAGGCGATACAGAGGGCTCTGCCAAGGTACCCTTGTGCAAGGCATCTAACTCTTGATCGCTCAGGGAAATTCATCACTCTAATATCTCTCTACTTCAACAGCCTGTATAGATATCTCGTGTGTGTGTGTGTGTGTGTGTGTGTGTGTGTGTGTGTGTGTGTGTGTGTGTGTGTGTATTAAAACACTAATCAGACTGTAAAGATAATTTCCCACAAGGGGGATTAATTAGTTTTTCTTATGTTTCAGTTAGACATAGGCTCAGTAACCATGAATTCAGAAAACCCTCATGTGCTTACCATCTCTCTCTTCTGGCGCAACCTCTGCAGAAGAAGTTCTCACTGGCAAAGTGAGTCCAGCCAGCAGAGATTTCAGTTGAACCAGGTCTGGGTTTTCTGCACACATCACCCTGGCAGGAAAAACAGCAAAACTAAATTTCTAACAAAGCCATAGTTGCTGTAAATAAAGTAAACTCATGCATGGTTTGCCATCTTGCAAAAAATATTTTTGCCATGATATACTTACTGCAAGATGTCAGAGTGCTTCTGTAAGTAGGGAATGGCAGCTGCTGCATCGTGAGCGATGTACTTCTGTGTGAACTGCAAAAACTTGTTGATGAAGACTAACGGATAGCGTGTCCTCTGGAAGTTCTACAAGTAGAAAGATGTATGTTCATACATGATTTGACACTCATTAAAACAAGTAGTTACGTCTGATCTCAATCCTGAAATCTATGGTGAATATTTGACAGTGTGAGCCCACCTGAAGGACCTTCATAAAGGACAGAAGGCAGTCCTGAAGCGCCCTCTGGTGGTCGCTGTGGAAAACAAGCGGCTGCAGCAGCTCCAGGATGGCGAGCGCGTTGCTAAAGAACGTCATGTGGTTTTGCTGCCTAAACTCCTGTATGTTTAGGTGAATGCGACCGTGTAAGAGACCTGCGATCATAGGCAGGTGTCTGGAAAAAAAACAAAGAAAAGGAAGCACTTGGCCTTAGGGCTGAAACGATTCATCGATTAAATCGATAAAATCGATTAATAAAATGCTTAGACACAAATTATTTGCATCGATGCTTCGTTTAATCCATTTAATTATACAGCAGTGTTTCGCAGGGACATTTATTACTGTCGCACATCTTGCTTACGCTGTGAACACGACGTGATTATGATGGCGCCGTTTGCAAAGTGAAGGAAGAGAGAGAAAATAGAGAGGGACAAAGAATAAAGTGTCCAAAGTATGGAATTATTTCAAGCTAAAGAAAACAGCAACTCTGTAATTTTACCGTCAGTCCACCTTAAAACGAAACTTGTGTGCCTTATCAGAAAGCAGCCGGTCTTCTGCCAGCTGACCACATACAAGGTAACAGTAACAGCATTTAGCATTTAACTGAATTCATGATTGATTGTTGAGTTGAAGGCTAGCCAAAGTAAGCCGCTGTCCTCAGCTGAAAATGTGCACACGTGCGTTTGTTGTTTTCCTTTTTGGCCCGTGAGTTGTAACCTCACAGTCATGAGTTAGCTGGGTGTCGGGAGCTGCACCTTTTAACTCACTTGCAACTCTCTCTGTAGCTCAGACGTTTCCTGCAACCTGCGTGTGCTAATCTATCCTTCATTATAATAACAAACAGCTGTTTCGTGTGCAGGATCGCTCATTTCCCGTTTCACATTTCACGTGTTTTCTTGACAAAACGTGGTTTGGAGACCGGCGTTGGGTGACACACCCGTCAGCTCTTGTGTGTGTGTGTGTGTGTGTGTGTCCCTGTCACCGATAAGTCACCTAGTGTGAACGCAACAACGACTTCAAGACTCCCATCATATGACGGCAAGTTGTGTGAACGGAAATATCACCTATAAACGTGCACAGCTCCGCCGCCGCCAAGCAAAAGTACTTCTTAAACGACGCATCCATGAATCATTGAAATAATCTATCGAAGCTTCGAATACTAAAATCATCGTTAGCTGCAGCCCTACTTGGCCTATGGCAACAGAAGATCTAATATTTGTAGACTAAATCCCCAAACACTACTACATAGGAGTACCACCTAGTTTTTTCTCACCTGAGCAAAAGTACAGGGTGTGACACAGCCAGCTTCCTACATGCAAGGTTGGCATCAGACACACGGCTCTCAGCAGACTTTGAGTCTCCTATATCAGCAAGCAGTGTGACCAGGCGATGCACCAAGACATCAAGCTGTGAAAAACACACAATAAGTATATACCATACTGTGAAGCATCACATTGAATTTCATATCACAATTCATTGTTGTAATTTTTTCTTTGAGATGTCAACAACAGACAAAATTGTTTTTTTATGAAGATGGTCATGACATCAAATCCCAATTTTCCGCATTATGATTGCTTCCTGTGGTGTGTGCAATTTAAGGAGCTCAGTGAAGGCTGTTGGTCATGACTTATGACCTATTTTGTGACAAGCTTTGGAATTCTAGTGTACTTGCTACTGTTTGTCCAGGGCTTAATTTTACAATTACAAAATCTGTTTTTACTGTGTAATATCCATGTTTATTTAGGGAAGCGCCTACTTAACGTAAGTAGATATTTTACTTAATATGAAGAGCCTCTAGACTAATTACAGTATGACATCTCTATTAATTCACAAGAGGAATAAATAAACATATCATTATACCATGGTAACAGGACTTACAAATTCAAATGTCACTACAAAATCACTTACATTTAGATGGTAAGAACTATCGCATCTAGGAAACAGACAAGACATCTTTACCTTGCAGCTGCTGCCGTATGCAGCTCCCCCACTGCTGAGGGTGCCTTCAGGCAGGGTAATGTGCTGGATGACTTCAGGGAAGTGCAAATAGATCTGCAGCAGCAAGTTCTGGCACCGCTTACTCATTGCACTGAAAGATAAAATAAACAAAATGGGATGTATACTGTATCCTGTGGTTTTGAGAGAAGGCACTAACTACAGGAATATGCCATTCACTTTAGGAAAATGCATTTTTATTATTGGCTTAGGACTGTTCAGCTGTCCACGGTAAAGCTAGAAGCTTAGTAACATAACAATCAAGACTGTAATCCCTGATGTTATTGAGTTGTGTAGCTTGAAGCTATTTAATTGACAGTGAATGGCTGAACAATTTTGTGCAGCCACAGAAAGTTTGTCACAGCTTTTCAACTCAAAGTGAGCTTTACTCTATAGTAAGACTAACATTATAAAGTAAACAATATTCCCAGCTTGACAGAAAAATTACCTTTTCACTTTCTCCACCTCTTTCAGGATTACCAACAGAGCTGATATGAGATCACAGATTAGAGAGCACAATAAAGCAGTTCTCTATTGTTTCTGTCTACAAGCGACAGTAATTAATGTACATTAATACAAACTAGACACATGAATAGCATAATGTAATTCTGAGGCATTTGCCTTGAAGTTGTTGTGGTTTCATAACATCCTCTAAGGCGCTTGTCATGTCTACTAACTTGTCTAACTAATTTTTTACAGCTACGAATTAAGCAAATCAGAGCGACCTTGACCAAGAGTAAAGAGTCTGCTTGTTGTTCAATAGTTGGTGTGTAATTGGAATAAACACCAGCTTATCTGACAGCAAGGTTTCACAAGAAGAATGCTCAACATACAATCACGTGTTTATTCTACACAAGGCCAAAACCCTTTACTTTCAACATGTTTTTATCCTACCACATGTTCACTGGCAACAATTTTACCAGACAGCTTAGCTGTACTTAAAATACTGTAATTCGGAAGCTAATTTTGCTTGACCTTGGCCAAAGTTTCCTCATTAAAGTGGTTTAATAACCAGAGACATATTCATGAAAGGAGGGTTTGCCTCCACAAAGAGTTGCACCCTGATCTCTGACAGCTAAGTCAGAGCAGGAATTCACAACACAGGCAAGTTTAGAGCTTCAGCCTTAATCCTCTTGGCTTCATTATAATACACTGAGCTTTTAAAGAGATCACAGTACAGACGACTTCTGCTGGTTTTAATTTCACACCAATAGACCTAATTATCGAGTTTTCCCTGGTCCATGGCATTGTGGCTGACAGAGGAAGTCTAAAAAGTTCATCTGCACTGAGAAGGAAAATCTTGTGCGATTTACCCCAAGTTTATCAGAACACCATAACAGTTAAAAATGGACTGTCCGCATTTGTGCTAATTAGAAAGAACAATACAATGTGTCGAAATGGATGGGCTGCCACTTTGGTGAACCTTATACAACAAAATGTGTCTTCAAATGTGGAGGGATGAGATAGAGAGAAGAGGAAAGATATGTGAATAGAAGTCAAGACACTTATTTGTGTAGCCCCTACCCAATTTCACAATTCAAAAAACTTTCCTCAAGTTGCACCCGAAGATGGGTGTTGAAACAATTAACATACTAGATGACAAATATCATACACCTTACCTGTCCTCCCATTTTTTTGTGCAGTTGATGAGGTACTCTGACACTTTCTTGATATTTTCTAGATCTCCACTGCAGTAGGAGTGAAGGAGGGGTAGCCTGGACTGGATGAGGGAGCAGGAGGCCTGGTCCAAGCTGCTTTTGTCATCGTGGGGTGAGTCGCGACTGTTGAGCTCCGACTCTGACAAGATCAGGTCGACCAGGCTGATGAGCTCCTCCGAGGTGAGTCGCAGCACAAACTTCTCTGTTTTCTTCTGCACAAACAAAAAAAAAGACAAGAGTCATTAGCTTCAGCAGAATGAACTCCCTCTGACTTAGGCTTCATCAAAAACGCAGGAGAAAAAAAAGTGTGACGGCTAGGGACTTATACGGGTATACAGGCTTATGATCTTACTTGGGGGATCTTCTGATCACGTCCTTGCCAGATACGCGGGATGTGGCTGCACGCCCACAGGAAATCCAGGGCTGATGATGGGTCAAGTCTGAAAAATGTTACACAGACCGTTAAAATAATCTCTCACTGTAAGAAATATAATTCTCAATAAAATCTCATCACATTAATCTATTAGTCACACAAAACAGATGTTTTAAACCAATTGTGTACTTGTAGTCTCTGCACTTGCTGAGAAGAGCACTGATACACTGGAGGAGGGTGGACCAGTTTGACTGATGTGTAAGCAAGGCCAAAAGATAAGGCCTGTAGGCGGGGGTTCCACGTGCCTGAAATAAGAGAAATAGTAAGAAAAGATGCATCAGTACCGCAGAGCAAACACTAGTTAGTGTGATAAGACAAGAGAAGGACTTCATCTGCAGGCAATGCTTATCTTACCTTGTTGAGGGCGAATAGCAGTTTTTGTTGAAGGTCTGGACATACTGAAGTGACCTCAGGGTCAAGATGCTCCAGCCAATCAACCAGTAGCCCAGAGCTCAGTCCTGACTTTGTCACCTCAGAGCTGCTGGCAAAGGTGAGACTGAAAGGTTAGAGATGTGACTGAACATCTATTAAATTCCCATAGCCTTAATCAAGTCCTCAGGAAGATAATGTGCAACTGAGCTAAAGACCTTATGCCCAGTGTTCGTGTGCTCAGTGTGTGGTGGGTTCATTACAACCAACAAATCCAAAATTTTCCCATTACTGTTGAGTCACTTGGTGATACAAAATGTTTCAGAAATGGCTTCTACAGTTAAACCAAAACACTCCCTTTTCGAACAATAGACAGACAGTATTCAGCACTAGGGTTGGGCAGTAACTCGTCAAGCAATTACCATTTCCAAAACAGTAATAATATTACAGGTACTAATCCAAGTAACACTACGTTACTGCGTTAACAGATCGCACCATCCTTGGCGTGAATGACTGAGCGGCAGATCAGCGGCACCGTACCTTATGTTGTTCAATTCAGCTGTTAGCCAAAAAGCTAAAGGAAGAATGGAGAACGAGGGAGAGAGGCGTTCTTTCCATTATATTAGCCATTATTGTGTCACAATGAAAGATGCAAAGAACATTGTTGTCAGTTGAAAAAGCGAAAGTAATATAGGAACGTAACTAGTTACTTTAAATACCCAGTAATAAGTAAAGTAATATTACATTTGTAAGGAGTAATAAGAGTAACTTATTACAATTTCTGAGTAACTTGCCCAACACTGCACAAATAAATACAATCACTCCATCTACTTTCACTCCTTGGACCAAAGAGCAACCAGTATGTACCTGCCTCATTGGCAGTGAACACAGAAAAGATTTTGTAAACTGTTCTATGATTTTCACAGCAAATGAATCTGTAAAGCTGCAAAACCAATTAAACCTTTCCGAACCAAAATCCATTAGCAGTTTCAGAGTACAAGGCCACAGTCTTGCATGACTTGAGAGGGATATTGAATTGCGGCGCTCACTTGTTAGAATCCACTTCCTTTTTCACAGCTCGCTCCTCACTTTCCTGAAGCAGCAAGGAAATCACCGTGGCAACAGGGCCAGCTGTCCCGTTCTGTGTACCAACAGTCATCAGCAGAGACAGGAGCTCCTCCAAATACGGTGACCTCACCTCCATCAGCCCTTGTAACACTGGATTATAATAAAAACAGCATTCTTAGTAATAAATAGGCTTTGGACTACCATTATTCATCCTTATGCAAGAAAACTAAATGTTTTAGTGGCAGCGAACTATGGGTGTAACAACACATTGTATAATATGAATCTTTCAGTATGAGGCTTCTGATTCAGTTCATGGTCTATCCAACAATCCACCAGAGGTTTTGTTCTCAATTCAAGCTACTGTTTTTGGTTCTACTTTTGAATGCAAAGCACTGTTTGTTTTGTGTTGTACAGGCTCCTGTACGGTACTTGTTACTTTTGCTGTACTGAAAACATACCAAACCCCCTTCACTGTAACAAGTCAAGAGGTCATTGTCAGTCACTGCTAAACAGAGTTATAAAAAAAACTTTCTACCTGGGTAAAACAATAAACTTTCTGTCAATCAACTGAATATTTGATAAATATTTGAAACATTAAATTTGATGTAAACAAAAGCACATTCACGTCAACATAATGATTCCAAAAATACCTTTTCCAATGAGCTCTGCTTCTGCATTGCATCTCTCTCCAGCTCTCAGCATTGCAATGATGGCTCTCAGGAGTACATCAGTATCTCTGTGATAAGCCAAAGCCTCAGCCAGGTGGAGGAAACCTGTACGCACTGCAGGGTAGAGACACTTGTCACTCACTGTTTGTATAAAATGACTGAATCAACATTTGAAAAGATAAAGAGTTGAAGTGCTCACCATCATTGTGCCTGTGTTTGTGAGAGGTCTGACCAGCGAAGGATTTGAGCAGAGTCTTTAGTGGTCCTGCCTCCACAGTTGGGTTGTCTAGCCATATTAACATCTCGACAACGACCTTAAGGAATAGTGAGGAGAACGCAATGTCCTTGGACACAAGACGCTGGAAGAAACAGATATCAAGCAGGAGAAATAAGAAAACATTACATTCCAGCGTTTTGAATCAACATGGAGTTGTGCAATGATTGTCAGCGAGCCTTACCTGGTAAAGGTGAAGTTGGCGCATGAGAGGGCAGGAGAGGGCATGGCTGCGGTGCATTGACATAACAATAGGTGCTGCATGAGCAGAGGTGAGCAGGGCTGCAATAGCCTGTAGGAGCCGAAAAGCCAACCCACCCTGCTGAATGTGGCCCTGCTTGGCCCGCATCAGCTCTTTAGCCAGGGCCTGTTGCAAGGCCAGAGAGAGCGTGCTGGGAGGGGGGCCATGCCAGCGAGGGTCCACGTTTAAGGGGAATATCTGTGTTAGCAAAGAAAAGACAAAACAGGGCATTTGAGAAAAAGGTGACTCAACATCAGCTTGGACTAACGGAAGAAACATTTGTTTACAGGTGAAATTGCATGTAATCAACAACTGACATTTAGCCCACAAGTAATTGTGTTTTTAACCACATGTTATCCAAAAAGACTAATACCACCACAAAATAATTAGACCCAAGCAGCAATAAATCCCACCTGAAGCAACATGCCAGTGAGATCGTCGTCAGGCCCGACTGCAGGAAGCTGACTGGCTGCTCTCATCTTCACAGAGCTGTGGGGCGTTTCTACAGTAACTTTGGCCTTACTTGTTTCAGCAGAATCTGTCAGGATGGATGTAGTCAGGACATGGACTAATTTAGATTATGTTCATACATAAGATGCCAATTCTTAATATTGTTAAAACACATTTACAATATTGTGAGTTATCAAAATGTTTTAATTCTAGTGATCTAAACATCTAACCAAACATGAGACAATGACTTAAATGTAAAGTGTCAAATAATATAAAGCTGAAATTGCACATAAACAACCATTTGGAGGCTAAAGTCACCAACCTCTGTCTGGAGGAAGAGAGGAGCTCAGTAATGCATGGAAAGTGTGCCCCCCAGTGGCACCTCGCTCATGCTGCACTTCAACCAGGTGGGCCATGTAGTCTATTGCAAGATAAAACCACAAAGAGATAAATCAGTAATATTTTATGACTATAAATCTCTAAATCTTAAACGATTTCAAAAGTAGGATCTCTCTTACGCTTGTCCATGATGTTCTGTTCCAGCGTCTGTGGATCATGGGAGACAGCCTGGTCCAAGTACTGCAGCAGTTTACTCATGCTGGATACTGGAATGCCAAAGGACTGTACAAACAGCAGCAGCTGCTGAGGCTCCAGGTCTTGCAAAGCTGGGGGAAACACATGTGTTGTTCAGTTAAAAAGCAAACATTTATTTACATGGTGAGCAACACACATTTATGTGTACAAAGTTGTACCTGCGTCAACCAATCTAGAGACCTCTGATCTGATCATCCTCAGTTTCAACCAATCAGGCAGCAGAAGGGCCTCTTCTGAGGTGTCCACCAGGAAGGCAGTGGGAAGAGGTTTCTTGTCGGGAAACCAAATGTCCAAAAGAGCGTAGAAATCACTCTCTCCTGTAAAAAAACACAATGGTTCTTACAACCCTTTTAACATTGCAAACATTGAACTGTAATGTGAACAGGGCTACCTTTGGGTGGCCCCAGAGTCAGCAGGATAACCATTGCATGGACGACGAGAATGTGCATTGTCGCAGTCTCTCCTGTGGTCCAACGTAGAAACACCTGGTCCTGAGATTCGGACTAAAAAAAAAAAAGTTCGTCAAGCTTAATTACGCTCCCTTTTATGCTACAGACAGACATAAAACAGATTCATCTTCAATTGATGATGAAACATCAGTTGCAGACTCAAAGCGCATTTCATCACTGGAATATTGTCATGGCACTTGGCCCAAAACTTTGCATGTTTTTGATTGCAAGAATAGTTTAGGGGATGTGGAACTTGCATCTTATTTTTATTTTTTTTCCCAATGAGAGGATCAATAAAAAGGTAGCCATAATGTAAATGACGATGTAGTTCAGTTAGTAACATAACTCTTGCTAGTGCTCACCCAGCTGTAAAGATCCTCTCCCTCTTTGGTCTTCCTCATCCTCCTGATGTATGTGGAGAAGATGGTGAGGAATGCACTGAGCACAGCATTTGACTCAGGCCTGCAGGAATGTTTGGAAAACAGGCTGTTCATGATGGTGGAACGCTCGACGATTAGCCGGGCAACGTCCTGTAAAGGGTGATAGAGGGTAAGATCCATTTCAGCACTGCTCCATGAAAACAAAACTGATTTGAAGATTAAAGAAAAGCATGTAATGTAAATGTAATTTAAGCAACTCGCCGTGATTACCAGAGCCAGGTCATTATGAGAAGCCTGCTCCTCCACTGGTGCATGCTGGGACAGGTAGATTAGATAGGCACTGATCGTCTGTGGGTCTGTCTCCATGTGAATTGCCTTCAAGGTAACAGACAGACAGAGACACACCCTTCACACTCCTACTCATCAATCTGCCTAAAAGGGGTACATTTATCCCCATTTCACTGTCGAGTCAGACTGACCTGCTGCAGAGCAGTGGAAGTCATGCCTCGGACGCTGTCAAACAAGGGGAGCTTTGGGAGGTCTTGTAGCAGCCACTGGTACCCTGGCAAGAGCTCAGCATCTGCTGAGTCTTCTTCCATAGGCTGGTCCCGCTCCTCTCCATCTTTTAAGCCCCCTTCACTCAGCACCAATGCCAAACCCTGCACACAAACAGGTCACGCAAATGGAATTTTTAAACACACAATGCTACTTAGAGATGATGTCTTCTGCTTCCAATACAGTACCTTCATGGCAAGCACTCTCGATGCCACCTGGGAAGAGCTGAGACGGCGCAGGAAGTAGTCCAGCACTTCACATGTTGTCTGTTCGTCAGCCTTAGGACCTAACAAAAGATCCTGGAGCCGTCCAAGTAGCTGCCTTTGCTTTTGTTGTCTCTAACAGGAAGAGCGTTATTAATACGATATTAGTCAAGAGTCAGTAATACCAGGTTGCAAGTAAATATAAATAAGCACAATTATAAATTTAGCATGCAGAATGTTCATTTGAGACCAACACTGAATAAAAGACCAGTCATTAAGAAATTAAGTAATTCCTGACTGGTATAATAAACATACTTGTCTCTTCTTGGCTTTCTGCTCTTTGCTCTCTCCCTCTTCATCATCCTCTATTGGCAGACTGTCATCCGCAGCATCATGTAAAAGGAATTCACACAGGCACTGCACTGGAAGCACATCCAAGGACCCCTCACTGGACTGGACCAAATCTGCCAACCATGGCATTGACTGAGAGGAAGCCTGTGAAGGATTCAGAATGCACCACAGTTTCAGGACACACAGTGAAGGAGATGATATGCAGTGTTTCCTCTATAAGCATTCAGGAGCAGCGGTGAAGCTGGTTAGCGCCAAGTTAGCTAACATCTCCCCTCCCCCTTCAGGCTGAGCAGCTTCTACAGCAGCTACATAGCTGCTATGTAACTTAACATTAGCTCAATTTATAGAAAGTAACTGGAAGCTGTATTTTATTACTGCCTACTTGTCCAATGTTGAGAACATCAGGTACAAACTTGGACTAAACTGATGTAGCCTGCAGCTCTGTCCTGTACAGACTGATTAAATTATTTGTCGGTTTTCAGTCTGAAAAAGTGGTTTTGGAAAAGAAAGGATGGAGGTGACTGGAGGAGCTGAGGTTAGTAAAGCTAATTAGTGATGCAAACTAGTCCTTTTAAGCTAACCTCAGAAGGGAGGAGGTTTCTCATGTTGCCTATTTTTTATATTAATGTCTACAGATGAATGTCAGAAGCTGTAAAATGAAGACACAAAAGGCAAACATGAACAGTCGTATCTATAATGATTCTGAGGTCATATTAAAAGGGTTTTCCTGCCGTTAAGGCTTAGGGGTGATGCCCAAAACATGCTGTGCCTGTAAACATGCTGTCACTGTAAAATCACAACAGAACCAACCAAATTACTTTCTTCAGATCTAAAGGTTGTAGTTCCTCCAGTAGACTGATCTTTGGGTGTTGTTTATTTATTAGCTGCTCTAGCTTTTCCAACTATTTGTTCAAAGATATGGTGAAAATAACAGCCCAATATGATGTGAAATTACATATTTTTCATTGGAAAACATAACATCACCAAAACATTAATCTAAAGCTCACATTAAACTATGGGAAAACACTGCAGTTTTAAGCTATTCTAATGTGCATCACATGCTCATGGACACAAGAGCAATGCTACTGAGACATGTTGTGTTGGGGTTTTACAAAAATGTTGCTTCTTTCTGCTGCTATAACTCCATTCTAGGGGAAACACTGATTATTTCTTCATCAGGCTCAATTTATGTTCTCCACCAGTGTTTTTGCTACATGGCCATTACCTGTCTCTGGATGATGTTGAGGAGAAAGTCTGGGTTGCGGCTGCGGCAGAGAAGATGTCCCAGACGCAGAGACTGGTTGAGGGTTTTTACCTGCTCCTGGACTTGAGGGGGAGGTCGACGAGGAGGACCCCTGAACACAAACAAAAAACGTCCTCCAGTCACACAGCTTTAAGAACACTTTCATCAAGATTTTAAAAGGTCATGTGGGAATACAGGACAGTGTGTGCTCACTGTCCTCCAACTAATCTAAAGAAAGGGGAGTGTTTGACTCCTATGGCCATGCGAAGTTGATTGATGAGTTGAATTTGAGTGACTAAAATACAATTCAATCAACTATCTACACGGTGTATGAGATAATTCCTCTTGGTTTCTTACTGTGGATCCAGACTGGTAAGCTGAGACAACAGCAAGCTGTTGCTCTCCGTGATGGTCTGCTTGGTGGAGGCTGCTGCCAAGTGGCTCTCAAAGGCCAGGATCTCTTGTTTCTCTCTCTGGGAGATCTGCAGCTCCCTGTTGATCATCTCCGTCTTTGTGTCCTCGTCCGCAACGGTGCATGGAGGGTAGGTATAGTTACTGTGGAAGCACAGAGAGATGTGCATTATTAGTTGTTCAGCATTATCTTAAAAAAGTATTTTATTCTAAATGACAAGCATCTCCTACTTTGTCATAACCATCTCCATGAGCATTTTCAGTGTAGGATAGCCATCCCAGGCAGCCAAACCTAAAGGGGAAAAAATGTCATGACAATATATTAATACAAAATATTTAATAGCTTAGAATATATAAAATAGCTACTTATATGTATGCAACATAGAAAACTAAGTCCTGTACCTATTTTCTGAGGATTAAATGCTGCCACCACAAGCAGCAGCAGCCATGCCTTCCAATACAGTGTGGATATTGCCAAATTTGGCGGTTGGTACCTTAAACATTAAGAGTCTTTTGTTATTTTTCTGATGTGAAAGTGTTCCTAAAAGCTAGTAAAGACTGTTGTAAAGAAAGTTGAAGTACCCTGCAGGCAGCTGAATGTTCTCTGGGTGGTGGTATGTACACAGATTCAGCACTGCATCGATGAGCTGAATCCTCTCCACTTTCAGGACCTCCAGATCTGTTCAAAAAGAAACAGCTGCATGCATTCTGCTGACTTGACACGATAAGATGTGAATATGGAGTTGCCCCTTGAAAGACTAAAGTTGGCTGCTCTTTAACCAAATATTCTGTCAGAGTAACATACACCGCCCTGGTTGTATTATAAACAGTTACAGCCTACGTGGGTCTTCACACACCATCAGAAACTCCCGCAGCCCTCTTAACCAGGTGATCTGCGAGCTCCATAGCATCAGCTGGGCCCAGGGGCAAATCTCGTGACAGCCCGATCACCAGAATGCGCATCAGTGTGTCTTCCAGCAAAGGCACCTCAGAGCAGAGGCGAAGGAAAAAGCTGAATAAAATAAAAAATTTTAGAAGTGTCAGTGCTGGATACAGTGAAAAGAAAACATGATTTATTTTGAATAATAGAGGAAACCTCACTTTCTGTCACTCTCTGGAGGCCAGTTGTCCCACTTGTAATATGTCTCTGGCTGCTCTGTGAAAAGCACTTTGTGAAGGCTGCGAACATGGAAGAGATAACTCATGTTTAAAGCAGCTGAAACCTTGAACAGCTTGGGCAGTCTGAAAAATAATCACATCAGGGACATGCAGTTACTAACCAGTGAACGTAGTCTTTTGCGCCAACTTTGCTGATGGTAGGTACCACAGTGTGAAGCCACCACACAGCGTCTCTCTGGATGGCAGCTATCTGACTCTGAAATGACCTGAGGATCTCCAGATCTGAAACAAACCAGAAGGGTGTTAAGGCTAAACCACGCATCATGCATGTAGTGGTTAACAAATACATTGTCAGAACAACAGCGCTCACTCTTCTTCTCTCCTTTGTCCCATGCAATGCCAGCTTCTTTGACCTGAGCGGTGATGCCCAACATCATGGAGACAGTCAGTAAATCCGTCACCTGGATAACAAAACGCTCCTATGGGAGGGACGAGGATAAACAGTTCAAAGTGTAAATACATGAAAATTAAAGCTGAAATGACAGATTTCCACATTAACTTACTTTGAATTCCATGTCCACATAGGTGGCCTCCTTTCTCTCCTGCATTAAACCAAAGCAGAAGGACTGGAAGTTGATCTCATGCTTGGTCTGTTTGATGATTTCTCTCAGCAAGGCTCGGGAGGCACGGAGGTAGTCATCCTTATTGGTTAACAGGTCCTGGAACACCATCGCCAAGAACTGCAGACACAAAGGAAGAAGATGAAGAAGGAGAATGCTGATATTGCGAAAACCATACAATATAAAACACAGATTTTAGAAGCCAAACAAATGAAACCTGAAACTAATGATGATATACAATAATAACATAATTTCATTACCTAAAAACTACTTTTTATTCAAATTTCAAAGTCTCTAGTTTTACCTTTGGAGCCTGCTCTGGGCTGTGCTGCAGCACTGTGTGGAGGACCTGCATGTTGTTGGGATTCCTGGCATTGGACAGCTCATTGAAGATCACCAGCTTCACCATAGTGGCCAGGTTGTCTCTGTGTGCGTTGAGCAGCTCCCTGGAGGATCAGAGCCAAAGCACCGGTTAGTGTAAGACAACGGGTGTAACAATATGTTAGTAGAAAACAAAAAAAGACTCCACGGACCTGACACACAGCATGTAGTGGTTGAGGAGGACTTTCGGTTTGAGTCGGATTTTGATCAGGTTGGAGACCACTTCCATGTCATCTGCTCCATGGCTGTTGCAATTCATACATAAAGACATGAGGAGGTCTTGAGCTGGACGAGTCAGCTGTGCACACCCAAAAATAAAGAAAGAGAGTTAATGCCATATATAATATAGAAAATGTTTGCAATATTGCAGTATATTGTTGTGTCTCTTGCATTTAATAATGAATACATTGGTAGCAATCGTGCAACAGAATGTACTTTAATATTTATACCAGCATACATGGCTTGATAGTGCTTTTTTTTTGCCATTATAAGCGTGTCACTATCATTTACAAAGATACTGTGACAAATTATCTGTTACTGCAGGACTGCCGCCATCACACTGTAATTTCCTCACCAAATACAGTATTTTACAACAGGTTGCGGACAGAAATTACAGCCAGTGAGGTGCTGGGAAATGGAGCATTGCATTTATATTTTATTCCAAGATATCTGCTACTCACCTTTGGGTTCTGGAGCCACATCTCCAGCCGTTGCACAGCCATGAGCCGTGCCTCTTTGTAACCACACGTGGCTGTGAGCAGACGCAGCAGGTTTCTGGAGACGTTGTCCATCGGCTGCCTGCGGTTCAGCTGATCCCTGAGGACGTCGAGAACGTAGTCCTCCACGCTATCTGCCAGTTCTTCATACCTGCAGTAAGCCAGAGGGTGAGACAAAAGACAGAATGGTCTAGGAATGGTCAGTAAAGCATTTGCAAGAATTATGATAAATCATTCAACTGTATTAAGTTAATAAAATATTAACATCTTATCATCATGTACACTGTAGCATCCCTCATTTCTGTATGGGTAACTTTCTCACCTTGGCATAATCTGCCCATCATCCTCAGGGCTTAGTTTCTCCTCTGCTATCAGCAATTCAGTCTGGCTGTCGTCCTCGTCGGGGGTTGAGGGATGAGGGCTGCTACCTAAAAACCCAGACGCAGCATAAACCAATGAGCACTTGTTTCCTGCATCAGCAATCCTAACACCCAACAAGCGAGTGTGTTTTCTCAGTGTAACTGTACCTGCACTGAGATCTCCACCAGAGCGGGTAGTATCAGCCTGCAGCAGCATACTCTTAGGCGGCATCTTTGTCCCAAAAGCAGTCTGGATATTGTCAACAAAATTCTTACAGTGAGAACTGTCAACCCAGATCCTTTCCCCCAGAGAGTCCTCAATGTACACCTGAAAATATATTAAATATTGAGTAGATGAAATAAATCATTGTTAAAAAAAAAGGTATTTTAAAGCAGTGTTGACTGTTTAGGAGAGATCCTCACTTTAACAAAGATCTCTGGCCAGTTCTCGTCCTCCTCATAGGCTGCCATCAGCAGATTGCAAGCAAGAACAGACACAAGGCTGTTCCCCTTTGCTTTAAAGTTGATTGAAGCATCACGACGCAGGAGGCTGCACAAGGCCTTGAGACAAGAGTGAAACAGGTGGAAAGTAATTCAGATCCAGTCAAATTCCAACACCAGTTCACTTTGACGAAGATTTCTTTGCAAGGCTATCTAACAATGTCTTTATTCAATATCAAAAGTGTTTTAGCCAACTCTTTAGTTAGCAGTTTAGTTAGTAAGTTATATAACAGTAAAGCAAAAGACTCATCTGTTAAGAATAAATAAAACCACTAAAAGACTGAAATTAAAAGATAGGTGGATGTGCATGAATAAATCATTTACTAAGACAGAGACTCCAAAACTACCTACTACTTCACTATTTTGGAATTAACAAAACAAACTGAGGCTAAGGAAACATGTGTATTGACAGCCATCATTGTTCACTAGGCACATGTATCACAATATCATCGCATTAGAAATCTTACCTCAATAATTCCTTCAGTAGCAAAAACGTTGGGCTTGATTTTGGCCAGGAACATGAGACTGAGGTACAGTGTTATGTCAGGCTTGGCTCGGTTCATCTTGAGTTGTTTCACTGCCCCACACAGCAGCCCCTCAATGCGATCATCATTTCCTTCAGACTCTGCAGCTTCAATCTCATCCAGCAGCACTGCAGGTGACACTACAATAAAAAAGAGGTGTTTTAACTTGCAGCTATGACCATGTGAAATATGCAAGATAACTACTGTAGCCATTTCTGTGTTAGCCACTGATTTACCTTCAATGGGTATCACTGATGGCTCCTTAATAGAGGGTGATATTGCTCTCTTGTCCACAGCTGCGACATCAGCGAGTCGTCCCAGAGCACTGACTGGAGGGGTGGTGGATAGTTTGGGCCGCTTGGCGAGGCTGGACAGACCTGATGAGGAGGGCAGAGTGGAGGAAGTCTCTCTCTTACGGTCAGCAGGTAAACCAGTGGATGCTGGCTTCAGGAGGACAGCAGGGGCTTTGGGCTCTCCACCCTGGCTCTTTGATCCGAGAGCAATGAAATCTCCTGGTGGAGGATGACCTGGGAAAAGCAGCCGTCACAGTAAGATGTGATTTTCTACTGCTTTGCTAGTGCTACTATCTTGAGCTTAAAGCAACACTTAGATGACACATGGGTTGGCATTTTTACCTGATGGTTTTGCAGCACTGGGGCGCCTGAGAGTTGTAGGCTTTGGACGATTCATCTTGACCAACAGTCACACGTCAAAACCAAAGTCACTGCACGTTAAGAGGGTGACATTACCTACCTTAGAGCAGTCTGTGTAGGAGAAAAACACGTAAAATGCACACGTTTACGAACGTTAGCTACGGTAGCGTTAACCTAACGGACAGAGCTAACATCAATTAGCTATGTAACGTTAACGTTAAGAGCCTAAATCGCAATAAATTAACCAGTCACTTGGCAAGGAAATCAACATGAGCCTTAAGGACCTAAAGCACAAATCACAGACAAAAAGGCTGTGTCCAGTCTACATAGTGTTAATAACATCTGTACTAAACACTGGACACAAACTGCTGCGCTAACGACAACAAATAATGCTAAACTTCACTTACAGATATGCGGCTCTTAGCAACTTCAGCTAACGTTAGCTTAACGGTGTCAGGCGTAGTACTGACCGTGAACTAGCGTTAATTGGCCTGCAAAAGAACACACTTCAATTAAAAGTGGCTCACATATTTATTCGGTCTCATTAAACTGATCTGAACGGTGCACTTTAAAGAAAAAAATAGGTTTGCCGACTCAAAGCTATCAGGCAGTGTGAGCCATAATGGCTTCTTCTCCGTATCAAGGTTGTTTGCTAACAAACATAAAATGGCACACCGCCACCTAGTGCCAGGAACTTTCAGGTGGTGATGTTTCACTATTCGATACCAGATTAACCTAATTTTCTCTCACTGTTTTGCTATGGATACATTCACGGTATGTTTTGGCATTCGTGGAGATGATCAATTGTCATGAGTGTATATGAGTCTTTAAAACGTTCTACTGTGAAATCCTTTACCGGACGTATCATTATGCCTATTGTGTCTAACTTGACGTTAACTTGGTTGTAGTTACACACGGTTACCACCAGAGGTCATTATTGTAAACACACGTAGTATCAACACAGACGCACCAGCTATTCGCCCACTGGATAGTGGCATTCCTATGCTGAAAATTTAATAATAGATTTAGGTGTAATTGTGTACTAAAACCACCGGAGGGTCGTGTATAAGGTATAAGCCATGGGTCTCGCCCTTCTTATACAGACTGTGTGGTTTCGCCATGGTGTAGGTGTGGCGCAAATTAACCCGATGTGTTTGCCCTCTAGTGGTCACAGTGGGTAAGTACAGCTTCAATAACAAGTTAGATCACATTGCCAGGTAGAGGCATAGTTAAACATCCGGATAACACTTTCAAAGTAAAACTTTCAAACCCACGTATACATAGTGACGCCCGGTGGCCACTAGAGGTCACTAAAGAGTCATACTTTTTTTTCTTAACTTACTGACAAATAAAACGGATCATACCCAGGATATAACTGGAGACTATTAATATTAGACCTTATGAAAACACCACAAATCACAGCAGTGAGTTCTCTTATATTCTGACTGACAGTTTCTTGGGGTCTTTCACTTAATCCATGTGTACAAAGAGTCATTTTGTTTATTTTGTGGAGTCATTTTGTACAATGAGTCATTTTAATCTTGGTTGCTTTCATGTGGTTCAGCCAATGCTTTGGAAAGCTTTTTCCACATCACTAGTTTCAGCAGATAATATTCAGCAGATATTTTGCCATACCATAATCATAATGAACAGTTCATGAGTTGCACAAATAATCTATTTTTCTAATTACATTTTTCTTCTACAACAAGAAAAGTGCAAGCTATGTGTACTAAAATACAATTGTAAAGACAACACAATCACAAGAGTTTCTTGCATTTGCACCGGCAGTTTTGGGAGCTTTGTGTTGAATTAATCTGATTTTTATTATATATAAATAATGAACATGTATATTGTTTATGGCATGGCTTATATACACTCACCTAAAGGATTATTAGGAACACCATACTAATACTGTGTTTGACCCCCTTTCGCCTTCAGAACTGCCTTAATTTTACGTGGCATTGATTCAACAAGGTGCTGAAAGCATTCTTTAGAAATGTTGGCCCATATTGATAGGATAGCATCTTGCAGTTGATGGAGATTTGTGGGATGCACATCCAGGGCACGAAGCTCCCGTTCCACCACATCCCAAAGACTCTATTGGGTTGAGATCTGGTGACTGTGGGGGCCATTTTAGTACGTGAACTCATTGTCATGTTCAAGAAACCAATTTGAAATGATTCAAGCTTTGTGACATGGTGCATTATCCTGCTGGAAGTAGCCATCAGAGGATGGGTACATGGTGGCCATAAAGAGATGGACATGGTCAGAAACAATGCTCAGGTAGGCCGTGGCATTTAAACAACGCCCAATTGGCACTAAGGGGCCTAAAGTGTGCCAAGAAAACATCCCCCACACCATTACACCACCACCACCAGCCTGCACAGTGGTAACAAGGCATGATGGATCCATGTTCTCATTCTGTTTACGCCAAATTCTGACTCTACCATCTGAATGTCTCAACAGAAATTGAGACTCATCAGACCAGGCAACATTTTTCCAGTCTTCAACTGTCCAATTTTGGTGAGCTCTTGCAAATTGTAGCCTCTTTTTCCTATTTGTAGTGGAGATGAGTGGTACCCGGTGGGGTCATCCGCCTCAAGGTTGTGCGTGTTGCGGCTTCACAAATGCTTTGCTGCATACCTCGGTTGTAACGAGTGTTTATTTCAGTCAAAGTTGCTCTTCTATCAGCTTGAATCAGTCGGCCCATTCTCCTCTGACCTCTAGCATCAACAAGGCATTTTCGCCCACAGGACTGCCACATACTGGATGTTTTTCCCTTTTCACACCATTCTTTGTAAACCCTAGAAATGGTTGTGCGTGAAAATCCCAATAACTGAGCAGATTATGAAATACTCAGACCGGCCCGTCTGGTACCAACAACCATGCCACGCTCAAAATTGCTTAAATCACCTTTCTTTCCCATTCTGACATTCAGTTTGGAGTTCAGGAGATTGTTGTGACCAGGACCACACCCCTAAATGCATTGAAGCAACTGCTATGTGATTGGTTGATTAGATAATTTCATTAATGAGAAATTGAACAGGTGTTCCTAATAATCCTTTAGGTCAGTGTAAGGATGAATCATTAGCTGTTTTCCTGTTGGACAAAATTAAACTACCAAAAGAAGAGAAGCTTGATTATACATGAAGGCAAACTTTGACAAAGATATCTCATTTTTGTTATATTTATACATATCTCTTTTTTTCATATTAGTTGACGTACACTAGATTTACTTTCTTGCATTGAAAAGCAAATACTTGCTTTTACTGTGCTTCCTTTAAATACCACTAATGTAACACAAGGCGGCAGCAGTCTCCGTTTTACTGCATTCAGATGGTAAAATTTGTCATTGTACGGGGTTCTATCTTATCAAAGTAGGATTTTTATCATGTATGTTAAATAACCATTGATGAAAACAAAACAAGACTTCAATCTAAACAGAATAATCAGACATGATAAATTAACTGCATTGTGTGATGACTTTATCAAGGACCACACACATGAAAGGATCAGCAGCACCAAGACAAAATAACGCTCCACATTTCAATACACATAACATAAAGCATTGAAACTGCATTCAGCAGCACAGCAGTCACAAAGTACACCGTCAGAACAAATCTGAAAGGAAACAAGATCCAGATTTTTTCAGCCTTTAGTCATCAAGAAAGCTAAAACTAAGAGCCATATGATGAGTCAGACTTTAGAGCTACATAGATGCAAGATCTTCTGAGAAATCACAGTGTGCTATTTTTCATCCCCACAGCTGTTTTCAGTCTTTAAAAACGTTCATGTCTTGAGGAAAACAGCGTCAGAGCATCAAAGCTTTACCACCGTTAATAATGCCCATATTTAGTCCCACCCATGGTCTGCAGCAGCACTTTGTTCTTTCCTCAAACACTGCTAATCTCTATCAAGTATAGAAAAAGTTAACTCTCAACTACTATGTTTAAAAGATGCTCTATTCTTCCTTCTAGTCCTCAAAATTCCAAACTTTTATTTTGGTAATAAATAGTTTTCAGTATGGTGAAGTCATAGGAGCATATTTCAGAACTGTGGTGAATATTAGGCTGTAAACAGTCCACCACCACCACACTCCAGCTGCTGCCATCACTACTACTGTAACCTCACCATGCAGCTCTAACCGGCCAGCTGCTTACGTAAAGTGTTTTCATATGAAACACATTTTGGTGAAGTCAGTGGAATGTGAAGTCAATGTTCCAAATAAAATCTAGCGTCAGATGGGAAGTCTACAAATCTGCAAAACAATTCTTTTACTTCTGAAATTACATACAGTCCAAACTGTGCCAGAGGCGGCTGTCTCATGTCTCAGGCATTCTCAGTTAGATATTCCTGAACAAAACAGTTGGAGGAAGTGAATGTGATTCATTATTTAAGTTTAATTAAGTTTTTGCCCAGAGTGATTTATTTGGCTAATTGGTAATGGTATTACTTCAGTTTAAAAACATATGTATGGTCAAAATCAGTCTTTTTACTCACTGATAATTTGGAGCATTTGTAAAGAAGAAGGGGAAAAAATCCCAGTACAACAGGGAGCCTCTTTGTGCCAGATCAGATTTCTGAGTTCAACGGTCTGAGTCAGAAAGAAGCAAGGTTAGTGACTCAATGTTACTTCCTGTAATCAAAAACCTGCCTGTAAGAACCCACAGCATGGTGACTGACAACCCCCCAACAAATCTGCTGCACATGGTCCGCTGTTTTTGTTTTGTTGGACACAATGGGTGTATTCAGGTCATCTTTGGACACATCTTTGGTGGAGTGGCAGCTGGATGTATGACTGATCTATAATATCAGTGTTGGTCCTGCAGAGACTTTTTCTTTCTTTTTGTTGACTGCTGGAAGATTCTGCAGGAAACGGACGACATAGAGACAGTATATCAGTTCAATAGTCTTGTTCCTATTTTATTGTTTGTTTCTATTGTTTATTTTCTGCACTGTAATCTACTTTAATGTACAGACAACTCTAATTTAATGTAATGTAATCTAAACTCACACCATTTCACCTCTAATGAAATGTAATTCAATTTCATCTAATTTATTCTCTATTCAAATCTAATGAAACCCTGTCTAAACTCATTTCATTTAATCACATCCCATCTCTTTTGCTATTCTAATATATGTAATCTCCACTCATCACATTTCAAATTTCATCACTTCTCATTTATTCTCATCTGATCTATAATGTCATATAATCTCAACCCCTCTCATGTATTCTCACCTCTATTCTAATCTAGTGTTATCTAATCCCATCAAATCCAAACTCACCTCTGATCTAAGATAATGTAAACAAAAATCTCATCCAATCTTGCATCAATTCTAAATGAATGAAATCCCGTCTGATTCCATTTCTTCTCATCTCTTATCTAATCAGCAGTGGAAACAGTATTCTAAAATCTTGCTTAAAGGATCATTTTGGTATTTTTAAACCTGGGTCCTATATTCACACACACACACAAATAACTAGGTACAAAATGTTTTGAAGTCCATACAGTAGACGGCTTCAGTCGGCAGCCGCGAGCTGGCCACAGGGCCTGCAATGTATCCCTACGGGGCAATTGTGCCCATCAAAACTACGTCCAGAAAAAGTGCTTCTTTTTGCCACCGACAGGCTCACACTGTTATACGAGGTGTCAAACAACATCATGGAAAGGATCCCTATGACTAACTCCCGGTGACACCCCTTGTTTTAGCTAGAAACAGACGTCTCGCTCAAGGATTACTCGCTCTGAAATCCCGTTAGAGGCGAGTTGTTGCAGAAAGACGACAGCAGAAACAAGGGAGAGGAGTTTGTTTTGTACATAGAGACTATTAGCAAGACTTTATTTCCTATCGTTACTCCAACACAACAAACTCCTCTCTTTAACTCTTGACTCCACCGTCATCTTCCTTCAACAACTCGCTTCTCACAAAGGAATAGCCTACACTGAAGCCATCTTCTGCATGCAACACTTTTTGTACCTACTTTTTGTGAAAATATAGCCCTACTATATGGCCCCCAAACTACCAAAATTATCCTTTAAGCAAAAGTGCACAAATATTAGCTGGTAATATGCTGGTAAAAGTTAATATATTTAATCCATAACAATACATCATAATGTATTTGTTGATTTAGATTTTGTATTAACAAACTCAATCTGCAAAGTAACTAGTAACTAAAGTTATCAAATAAATAGCAGAGTAGAAGTTATAACATTTGTCTAAAATGTAGTGCAGTAGAAAAATAAAGAAACATAAAATGGAAATATTTGGGCACTTAAATGTTTTATTTTATCTAGAAAATACAGAAGTAAACGAGAACTGGTTCAGCAAAGGGTGCTCAACTTATTAGAGGAAGGCGTTACAAGGAAATGATGTGTTGTTGTTTGTGGTGAACATCGTGCTAACCAGAAAACAAAGCCAGTTTACTTTTGATTTGAAACATGCTCCCCTGCAGATGATGCAATAGTCCACCCTCTCTAGTAAGTAAATGATTCCACATGGGATTCAGAGTTGATCAGTTGAGTCACAAACCGCAAACTATGACCTATGATGTAACCTAAGCCTATGCTGGCCTGTTTATCTGGCTATCTGGCACAAAACCTGTAAGAGATGAATTCTCAGGAATTAGCAGGGTTCACTGGAAGCAAGTCTTTGTGGGGTTTTTTTTTTTTTTTTTTACATGGGAGACCCCCACTTGTGACACAGAAGAATCAATATTCAGTGTTTCTCGTCACATTTGGAAAAACACTCAAAGTAAAGCTTCCAATCAACAGAGAGACGTCTGTACAGTCGTCACAAAGGTTCTTTTGCCCTCAACAGTCAAACTAGAAAAATCGAATCCAACATTTATCACGTATCAACTCGTCATCTACTAGTCACATTTTATCTAAAGGTCAAAATCGCATCATGCATCTGAGACAATGTGTGTGCGCCTTTTATTAGTGTGTCTCTCTGTTCCTCTTTTGTCACTGTGTGCTAAATATAACACCAGTAAACAGAAACCACCACGGAACAAAAATGATTCAATAATGAAGCTCCTTTTGGCCTGGGCAATTAAAAGTTCAAACCACAAGTCGTATGACGACTAAATTCAAGCTGATGTTTGTCTGGACAGTATATCTGGCAAATGGGAGTTTTCTGTCAATCCATACTTTTAAAAGGAGGACATTTTGTCCGTATAAATCTTGTATGCGCAAATCAGCTGACATAAATAAATGAACTTTATAGCCATATATCATACATATGTCATAAAACTAACCAGATTCCATATTTAATTTCAGAATTTCTGCCACACAGGCTCCAGATCCAGATGTTCTTCTTTCCCATGCGTGTAGGATGCTGATCTAAACTTTAAGTGTGCTGCAGCTCTCACACTTTATTATTATTATTATTATTTATTCCACCGTTTTTTGGCATCTAACTAGTCTTGTACCGTTTGTCCTACAAACTTGGTAGGACAAAACTTGGTAGAACCTTTCCTTCACAGTGTATCTTAGTCCGGTGGTGGAGGTCTTGCTCTTGCTCCGGATTCAGACATTGATGGACAAAACCCTGCTCACAGCATGTTAACGAAAAGGGGGCCAAACTTAACACATATGTTTGCTGAACAAGTGTGCAGCACATCATTGAGTCTCTTAGCTGATGGAGCCGCACATTGCTCCGACAGCGGTAGCAATCGCAAAAAATAGCTGGCAGCTCTCACATGCATTTTCTTAAGGAAATGCCATTCTAGTTTTAAATGCGTTTCACACTTTTGCACATATACTCTCAACATATGTCAATGTTTGACAATATTATTACCTGTTAAAGCTATGATATAAAGTGATTTCCATTTACCAGTTTATCCTGCAAGGAACTCATACAGTAGGTATTTCACAGCATCATTTAAGTCTTCGAAACTTTGCTCCAAGCCATGTTGGTCCAGTCAGCAGAAACAAATGTGAAAGTGCATTTTCCTCGTCTTTCTGGCCTCCTTTGAACCGCGAAGCCCACACTGTTTATGGTGTAAACACACTGCATCTGTTTTTAACAGGGACCATACTCCGAGGCAACCTCAAAGCTGAGGTCTTCTTATATCAGATAAATGAACAGGGAAACCCATAAGAGTGCAGCCCTTAAAAGGCTACTGACTTAATATATTTGCATTCAGTACTTAATTACCCAGAATAACCTGTGACATTACTGGCAGCCCCGCAGTTAAAAGAAGAGAAATCCTGACTGCTGGGCTACTTACTACACCACATACTTTCCTCAGGACTTGGAATGCAACTGCTGCTCCTGAGTCAGACGGAGGGAGGAGGAGGTCGCTGTTTTCTCTCAGTTAAAGCACATTTCTGAATACCTTGTAGTATAGACCTCCAAAAGAGTCTCCTTATGGGAGTGGGAGTCAGCAGACTGAGTGAGAACAACAAGTCCAGGACCACCTTTTGAAACTTAAAAGTGACTTTTTCCTTCTCTGTTTTCGGCTAATATTGGCAACAATGGCTCACTTTGTACGGATTAGTTTTGTAAAGTAAGCAAAAGCAGCCGCCAGCAGTAGGCCTATCTATCTTCTATTTCTGGCCTCCCCCCCGCGCCCCCCCTTCCCAGACTGACGTCAGCAGAAAGTTATTTTCATGAATGGAGGGGGCGGTCACGAGGAATCGGTGACGTGAGTGCTTGCGGAAGCAGAGCGTGGAATGTTGGTACATTGTTGTTGTTTTGTAGTTAATTTAGTACGAGGATACAACGCTGCCCGGCTGCTCAACGCTTTAAACCAACTGCGTCAAGTTACCCCGTCGCCTGTTTCGGAAACCTACTCCGCCAGATTTTACGCATTCCTGTTCACAGATCTCCGCGTCCACAGAGGTGAGGTTGTTGGGTTTTTTTTGTTTTTATTTGGGAATAGATAGTTTGACATTCCTCTTTACATTTCTCAAGTTGTGACGGCAGTGACATATCGGCACATGCAGACAGACATGTCGGCCACACTGGCCAGTCATGTAAGATAGGTTTTGATCCCGGCTGATGTTGACTTTGTAGATTGTTTCAGTCGCGTGGACACGTGTTGTGTTGGAGTAACATAACAGTTAACACAATGCCCAGACAGTGGCGAGGGCTTAGTGTATGAAGTGGCGGGGGGTACATAGGCAAAAAAGTAAAACATCATTTGGAATAATTGCTTATTTTATTTTTTGACGAATTTAAGCCTGGTAATCTAAATAAAATAATTTATGTAGTTTACTTGTGAAATCTTTAAGGCTATCCCCTTTTTAAACATATGAATACATTTGACAATGTCTATAACAAGCACAGAAACCGCAAGAAATATCAGATATAGAAATAAAACAGTATTTTGACAAAGTAAGCCTAGTTATTGACTAATGCTACTCAATGTTGTTAAAATTAGGTTAATGTTACAAAATGCCCATATGCTATAGGATCAGTGTGCGCCACAGAACCAAAATTATAAGAAATAAATAGTGTTTTTTGTTTGTCAGGGTTTGTTTATTGATAGTCTAGTGTCTGTCACTGGTATGGGCTTTTGAGGGGGGGAATGAAGTGAAATAAATTGACTGACTGTCCTGTTCAAACTAATTCATAGGCTATCAACTAATTTCACGTTCTTTTAATAGTGGCGCTCTTGTGCATTTCAACGTGGGCTTTATAAGAGGCTGCTATAATACAAAATACCAGCCTACTTTTGACATTGGAAACAACACGTGGTCTGCATTTTCCACATGTGGGACAAAGGGCACAACGTGAAGTTAGACCACCAGGGCTGACTGGAGAAACAAACTGAGCAGCAGGAGGAGGCGCATTTCCACAAAGCATGAATCACTATGGAAGAAGAAAAGGCTTTATCTTATCTTCTCTGTTTAGCTGTAATTCCAGGTCTACATACATCTGTATTCCCTGGGTAAAGATAAGGAATGTTTTTTAAATACTAACCTAATAATTGCACAATAATACTGCTTGACTGTCCACATTCTAGTCTGGCCATTGTATTTTATTGAATAACGTAGACTTGTGAGGCCATTTTGATTAATATATGGAAAATATTTGTCTAGTTTCATTTTGATGATCGCAGGTTTGTGCCTGAGAGGCTTTTCTGATTCACTGTTGTTTCTGGTGGGTGCACCGGTGTCTACTGCTTTCAGAGACGCAATGGGAGAGGGTGCACTCCTCTGTCATGAGGTTAACATGTGGTTCAATCACCCAAGAGATGAGGTCTTCTTTGGATGGAGAAGTAACAGCAGCTGACTCATTTTACCACCACCATGACAAGCCACATAGGAGAAATTCACCATGAAAACATAGGATATGCTGTAGTTTAATTATCACCCAATACATATATGATTTCTCTTTTTGCTGGGCCTTGGTGATGGATGAAAGCGACGCAAAAAGCAAAACATTTTTGGTGGTGGAGTGTTGTGAAAGTGAAATAGCTGTGGTTGGTGATGCGATGACTCACAGGGAGCACGTTCGCTATGATGTTTTGCTCCTCTTACTGGGGGAAGAAAAAAAGATGTAGTTTTGATTATTGACTTTGGAAGCCAGCGATTTTATCCACAGCTGAACATGCCAAACAGAGTGTATACAGGCAATAACAGATGAATGTGTGAACAGGCCTGTGGTGCATTCGTCCAAAAGTGACTCCCTGACAGATATAGTGTCTGAGACGGCTCACTCTGCCACCCACAGTGATTTGCATCCTGCCTGTTCCTGCTTTTTCTGTCAGAATGACTGGATCTCAACCAGCTGCCTTTTACCTCATTAGGGTCAGAGTGTCAAGTTTACTCTTTTTGTGTGTGTGTGTGTCATTGGGAATTCCTTGCTGGTTCTCAGTGGTGCTGACTTGGTGAATTAGTTGTTTATCTTTTTCCTGGGCAACTTCCTGATTCCACTGTGACTCAAATTGCATGTTCGCGGCAACACAAACAACCATTTTAAAGCTCCACAACATTCAAAATGTATGCGTTCCTGTCACATCCTGTTTGTCCTTATGTCAGTGCCTCAGCTAACTGTTCAGAGAAGCATTAAAATCTGGATAGTACAGATTATTGGCAGTATATTACTAAAGAGCCTTGCTTTGTTTTGGTATCTTGTGTTGGAAAATGAGAGATGTGATGAAACGTGGGGCAGGTATGTCCTTGTTATTTATATAAATCCCATTGTCCTTGTTTGGGAGAAGATCTTTGCTCAGATATTCAGCGAGTTCTCCTCCTTTTCCACACAAAAGTTTCAGCAGTTGCCAGCCATTTCCAAAGGTTCTCTGTACTTTTCCTTCCTCCCTGTGAAACATCGGGATTTTCCAGGAAACGTCAGATCGGGAGGGTGTGATTCCCTGCCGCTGGTCGTCGCTTTTAACAGTAAACAGCATGACTCACTGCTCAGCTATGCTCTCCATTTCCTTCACATAATATCCCACCAAATGTGCTGCGCTGGAGAAAGAGCAGAGTGTCGGGCGTACCAGTCTGCACAGAAATCTCCCCACCCCTCTGAGAAAAATGCAAGAGAAGCTTTCTCAGAGGAGTGTATCAGGCTGTCAAGGGCAGCAACAAGTCTGGATTCTGCTTTACTTACTCCCAAATTAAAATTTAAAGAGAAGAAAAACAGAGTCCAGACAAACCAACTCTACATTTATCACTGGAGCATGAGCGCGTAAGTCTTTGATATGCTGTTTATTTTGGGAGACGGTTACCTGCTGTAACTGAAGGGCAGCCTTGAACTTGACCAGATGCAAGACTTTAAAAACAAACATTTGGCAGCAGTGAACAAATGGTACATGGGTTTTAAAACAGACTTTATCTCAAATATAGATTTAGCATAGTATTTCATGAATTTTCTCTTTAGGAGCTGCTTAGCTCTTAAAAAAAAGTCTGCCTGGTTCTGTTGTTTTTAAGCATTCTCAACAATAGTCTTGAAAGGGTCAGTTCATCTTCAAAGCAATGGTGTACACCCAAAGAACAGATTACCAGATGTTTATCAGAAAACATTCTGCTTTCCACATCAAATAAGACACTGGCATAACAAACAAACTTAGCCATGAAATGTGTGTAGAATGTTTGTAATGGACATCTAGTTAAGGAGTTACACTCATGTCATCCCCTGGCTCCAACCATTGTTGTGACACTCTGTCATAAATTAGTGATAACATTGTTGAGAGAAAAGTACATTCTTGGCTATTAGCAATCAGAGGATTAAACATTATAATCTGTTTGAGGAAGTTGGGAAGGTAAAATGAAACATAGGCCGTACAAGGGAAGGCAGTAGACCCCTGACTACCACACATGTGCAAACAGGCTGCCTTTGATTTGTTTGGGCAAGTGAAAGATGCGAGACACTTCTGAATTCCAGACATTTTGTGAATTTTGCAGCCGTTGTTTTACAATTGGGAATGTCTAAACTCCACCCCTATGGCAGAGTGCATTGCAGGACATATTCAGACTGAATGTTCCCTCTCCAGTAAAGATGTGCCTGCATTGTGCATGTGAGGGTTTGCACATGTGTGTTCACTCAGGAATGTGGTTTTGTTCTTTACCCGCCATCTGTGGATTTTCTTTGAGGCGTTTTCCCAGCCTATTTTTCTTACTGTTATGAAAAGCCTAGCATGAGTTGTTTTCTTGGCTACAGCGAGAAGCCATGGTTGGTTGTGAAATACGGCTGTCTCGTCTGTGTGGCTAAATCATGAAGAGTGGATTTGGCTGTGTAATGTAATTTGTTTTTTTTCTCCTGAGGAAGCTTTGCTATCTTGATCAGAAAAACCTTGTCCCTCTGCGAGTTGCAAAAACATATGCACATGCCTAAAGAATTTCAGGGAAACAGCCTGCCCTTTTGGTTCAAGTTGGAGACCTTGTATGATGAGAGAGAGGCCCCACACCAACTTTTCCATGATCTTTGCAAGGAGTATACCCAGGGACCCCCTCTGATGCAATACCACTTAAATAAGGCCATTCAGGCCAACTTGTTGCTGAGGAATGTTGTATTTTAGTTCATCTTTATTTAATGCTTCTAACATCTCAATTATTCAATTATTTTCTGTGCGTTTTGCAAAATTAATCCGAGAGAGCAGCAGATGTTCTCCAAATCTTATGAGACTCTGGGTTTGAGCTGTACATGTATTTCTAATCTGTTTCTTTTCAAAGTCAGTATTCTTTGAGGTTCAACTGTTTGTGACAAAAACACAAAAGTACATTCTGTAGACAGTGATGTTGAATTTAAGCTATTATAAGAACAATGACCACTGTTCAGGTCCCATCAGAGACAGAGAGCAGTAAAGTTGTTTTTCAAGTCGACTGCGCTGTTTGAGTCAGGAATTGGAAATCAACTGTTGCAAAGACCCGTATAAGCAACCTGCAGCTAACGGGACTGCAAAGAATATTTGCCCTCTTGCTGAGGTATCAATTATCGTGTGCTCACTTAAATTGTTTAGTTGGCAGAAATTTGTGTCAGCACTGTGGGCTAAATATATCTGCCAGAGTTAAATAAGGGCATAGAGCAGCTCAGGAAAGCCCAGTGTAAGAGGATCCAACTGGCGAGACACAGCCCTAAATCGATAGACTACATTGTCTCTCAGCAAAAATAAATCAGTGACTATAAAGGAAACTATTTCTCTGTGACACACTATCTCCAGGAATTTTTCCACATGCGTATCTACTGCCCTGTAAAGTTCACCATAACTGTAAATGTTATGCTGATGTGATGGTCTGTTTTAATGTCTGATGAGGAGGCGGAGTAGTGTGGACTGGCTGTGTCCCTCTAGGCCCAGAGACATGAGATTAGGGGAATAAACAATCATAAACAATAGAGAAGACTGGATTTAGGGGAAGTTAACAGGATAAAAAGAAATTAAGGAATTGTGAACACAGGATACCTTTAAGTTATCAGCACAAGTTAGTGCTGCTTATTTATACTATGTATAGGCTATGTTGCGGTTATGAATGAGACTTGTTTACCCTTTTGGTGACCATGTGACTCACACTCCCACGCCCATTTGCAGGGTGTTTCCATGGTAGCAGTCGAGCATGGAACAGTGCACTCGTAGTCAGGCTGGTCCGCAAGTCCTGAAATGGAGCCTCGGGGGGGATGTGTGCCTCTCACAGGATCACAGCTCAGCGGGCTCGCCTTTTTTTGGCCATGGCAGCAGCCTGGAAAGCATGTGCCTCACTGTAATAAGTACAGAGAGGCTTTTCTCAAAAGTGCCCCATCAAAATTGCTAAGGCCGAGAGCTTAAATGCAAAGTTCTATGAAGACTGAGGGAGAGTGGTTGCCTGTTTCTAATCTTGCCTGGTCTAGTGAACTACATTGTCAATTCCCTCCTTCCCTAACAAGTAAATATAGGCACTCTCCAGTGCTGGTGTTTAATGGTGCCAGGCTGCCCTCTGCTGGTCTGTGGCTCTGACATGCAAACACAAATACTGACACATGACGTAACCCTTGAATGTTGTTGTGATTCTTTAAAGTGAATCCATGGAAATGAGTGCAAATATTATAATGTACTCACTATCTGCAGTATACAAAAATATGCATTAGTAGCAGAAGTATTCAGATCTGTTACTCAAGTTAAAGTATAAAATACCACAATTTGAAACTACTTTGTAACTTACTACCGTTTTTAAAATCCAATTAGAAATACAGATGCATTCTCAGCAAATATGTATTTAAAATATCAAAAGTTAAAGTACTCATTATGCAGCACCTGGCTCGTCAATCAGTGATTTATTACTACAAATTATATTGACTTATTAGTGATGCATGAAGATGTAAGTGGTCAAAAGGGAGCTCTTTTAAATCACATTATACACTTTTGGTTGGATCGTCTGTAACAAGGAATCATGTTTTTTTTAAATTTTTATCTGTAAGTGTAACTAGTTAAAGCTGTCAGATGAATGTAAGAGATTGAAAAGTACAATATTTAGAAGTATAAAGAGGAAATAAGTTAAATTATCTTCAAATCATACTCAAGTACAGTACTTAATAAATGACATGATATGTTGTGTTTCACTTAATTTAAGTACTTACACAATTTTGTTTTTCTCTTCGCAGTGTGTCTTCTGTGAGATTCTGGCCAGTTGTCTGCATGCAGGGAATGACGACTCATTTCAAGACGAGCAAAGCTTTAAAGGTAGGTGTGAGAAGTATTTCATTGGACTTTGTCAATATCCAGACATGTTGCTGTTTTTCATCCACTGCTCATCTCCTGCAGGTCAAGAGGGAGGTGGGCGAGAATGCCCCAGCGCTCAGCGACGATGAGTTGGTGGCCATGTCGGTGCGGGAACTCAACCAGCACCTTCGTGGGCTGACCAAGGAGGACGTTGTGCGGTTGAAGCAGCGACGACGGACCCTGAAAAACCGGGGCTACGCTGCCAGCTGCCGCATCAAACGCGTCACCCAGAAGGAGGAGCTGGAGAGACAAAAGTCAGAGCTGCAACATGAGGTGGACAAGCTGGCCCGAGAGAATGCCAGCATGAGGTTGGAGCTGGATGCCCTGCGAGCCAAGTATGAGGCCCTGCAGTGTTTTGCCCGGACTGTGACCCGTGGGCCCCTCTCGCCGGGCAAGGTGGCCACCACTAGCGTCATCACCATCGTCAAGTCTGCAAACCACAACTCCAGCCCGACCCCATTCTCAGCTCCCTCCTAGTGTTAACAGGACTGGGCTCTCCTCCTCCTGCCTGGTCCTTCCTGGTTCTGACCCAGCCTGAATCCACTCATCCTGTACTGAGAGGACGCTCAGTAGTTAAACTGAGGGATTGAATGGGATGGCAAGCTCGATGTGATATTATGCTGCATTTACAACTATGTCTCCCTCCTTCAGTCTCTTACACAATCTACAATGCCTGTGCACTGTGCAAACCCTCTTCCCCGACCCCCAGCACCGGCAGGGTATTTTGCCTCTGTGACCCTTCTTCCATGACTGATAGAGATTTGCCTTTACTCCAGTGTGAAAAAGTATATGACATGCCTTACTGTGGCACTTAATGCTGTTAAGCATGAAACATGAGATTTTGGTAGTACATACCGTATGTGATAGTGAAGCTATTTGTAAAGCCTATGCCAAATCACATTTTTTAGAGTTGTCTCTATGTAAATTGAGCCTTTGAAGCTGTTGCCTTAAAAAGGATGTATGAGTGATCTTTCAAAATTATTATTCAATACTTTGTAGAATTGAATAGTGTATGTAGTTTAACACAGAGGATTTATCGTTCCAGCTTTGAGGTCAGGTAGACACCTCTTCATAGCCACAGTTACCAGTGGTCTCCAACCAGTTGCCTTTAAGAGCCAGCCAAACACCACAGATGTGTTCACTGACTAGCTCTCTCCTCTTTTGGAAGGTGCTAAGCAGTAAAAACACCTGTTGTAGAGTTTGGCTGGAGTGAAAACCTGCCTGTACATAGCTCTCTATGGCCTGTTTGGAGAGCACTGCATTATGCAGTTTGATAATTGACCAGTGTTTAGCTAAAGGGCTCTACTCGTGATACGCTAGTGCTTATATTTTTGTATTGGCAAATTTTTATTCTGTGGTCAGTCATGCCAAATAGCTTATTTAGTATTTAGGAATGAATATTGGAGAACAGCAGTCGGTGCACTCCAGAAAAGGCACTGTGTGGATGGTAGTCTAATTTGGCAGTTTTTAAGTAAGACTTTTCATTTGTGTTTGAAAAGTTTAAAACTCAACCATTAGGCCAGAATTTGTATGCAAGCTTTTGCTAGACTACATCGACTCTGGTTGTAAAATATTATAAAAGGCCCTTTGTGCCTTTTTAGTTCAGATTGGCAACTCATCCATTGAACACTTGACTTGTGGGAATGTTGTTTGAGAAATTGTTGAATTTCTCAGTGGGGCTGAAAAATGTTGAGTACAGTTAGCTACGTTGTTGAAGACATTGGAGGGTATTGGGCAGGTGCTGCAAATGATTCTGTTTTTTGTACCTTTGTGGCCTTTTGACTAGAGAAATCACTCACAATTTCTGCTTCTTTTGAAATGCAAACGAGGTGAATACTTGTTTTTCACATAATTGAAATGCTCAGAAGATTTGACATCGACCATCATTATAGCACTTAAAAGGAAACTGTTAAGAGACCGTATAAAAGAAAATTCACAGGGCAACTGGTGCCTGGAATAGGAGAAGATGAGAGAAGTTGTTTTTGCATTTCTGAAGTTACTGGGGCTTTATTGCATAATGATTAAATGTGTGTGACCCCCTACTGAAAGGTCAAGTCTAATGTATATGCAAGGATGGTATGCTCTCTAGTATGTATGCCGCAGCACTGATTGGGTGATGTCTTTTTCCTTTATATGCCACTCTTTGGTAGGTAATCCATATTGGATACAGTGATAATGAGAGAGGTCCTAACAAGTGAAATGCAATTCAACGTACTTCCTGTATATTACAGATTACCAAAATGATAAAACGCCCACTGCCTCAGTTGTCACTTTACATTGAGAACCCCGTCCAAATAGAAATCATTCCTACTGCTGGGTCATGAGAAGTGCTGCTGCTGGTGTTGGTAACTCTAAACAGTTGCTATTTACCTTGCTTTTGACACACTCTTCTGCAAGAGAACTCCTGACACCTATCTCTAGAAACAGTGGTGTCAAGACAACTACATGCAGTAAACACCTTTCCTCCTGTTGTACGTTTTGAGATATTTAAATATGAAATTCACTTGAAATCAAGCCGTTCTTACCGAGGATCCATTCCTAATTTGGAGTGAAGTCAATAGAGATCGTTCATGTCAGGATTTTCTCTTGGCTAAGAGGACATGACTGGTCTTCCCCTGTTCCATAGCTGCAAAGAACAGTATGGGGAACTTTGCTGCTGTACAACCTGCTGTGATTTTAAGCAGGGGCATTGCTGTGTTCTTACACGTATTTTGTATTTTCACTGTTTCTATGTTGACTCATCCTATGTTCTGTTTCTGATACTTAGTTTTATATGTATATACTGTGTGTGTGTGTGTATTATTGTGTGTGTATGTGTATTTTTATATATATATTACACACATATATACACACACACACACACACACACAGTGTATATATATACGCATATTTATACAGTATATATAAAAACATATTTTTCTATATTTATGTATTTTACTATCCTGGGAGTGGTGTGATTATGTAATCATTCTTTGAAGTCTAATTACGCTGATGCTGACCTTTTTCTGAAAAAGTTGTATTCCCATATACAATGAGAAAACGGCTCTCATAACTTCAGTCTTCTTTGAGTATTTATACCCCATGAATAGTTTTTCCTCAGCACATTATTACACTATTTGTCTAATTCACAAATTGGACAGACCGTGACTAGGGTTACATGTAGCTGCAGCTAATTATCTGTCACAGTCAAGACAGTTTAAAAAACAGGGAAATTACATTATGACTGCAGGTTCACATTGTTAGTAAAGAACACATGTGCATCTATCATATTTTACTCCATAACTTGGAAATCTGTTATAATATTGCAGTGTCAACAAACACCACAAATTAAAATGTACTTCAGTGAGGTTTGAAATCAAACTATATATGCAAAAGGAATTCAAAGGTAACACATTCTACATAATTTCTGGATCAATTTGGTAGAAATCTATGCCAGACATTTACATTGGCAACCAACAATTGCACATAACTCAATGCAAGAGCACATTGGTTTGAAAATTGCCCAATGATTATGATGTTAATGCTAAGAAACCTTAACAGAAAAGAATTCCAAAGCTGCTTAAGACTCTCCACCTGTTATGTTTAAGGTCTGTTTTAAGCCTGAATCAAGACTGAGTTAGAACAATATATAGATACACATTACATGTTTACATAAGTCATTTCAAGCACATTATCTTACAAGACAATTCAGCTTCAAGCATTTTCTGACAAACATTACAGTGACCTCTTGTGGTGAACTTTCAAAACAGAATGCTGTAAAATAAAGCCTTGTTAAATTTTAGCACTTATTACTGTATTTGGATCTGAGGTAGATGCATTATGGCAGCACACCCTAAAACATAATGTCAAAGGATATATTTCAGTACAGTTGCATGTAAAAGACAAACCTCTCTCCAGGTGAATTAAGTACTTTGTTGTTAATCCAACATCCAGTGTGACCAAGTAGAGGTCCATTCATGCTCTCAAAACACACGTTGCTCTTAGGTCAGCTTACCACAAGCAAATATATGCCAGACATTATATTTTCTATAAGACACCTTTTTGCTAAAATAAAAGCAGACCTGCTAAAAGTCAAGTTCAAATAATTTTAGGGTGCGTTTAACAGAAATGTAGACACGATTATGGTTGAAAAGAGGCATAAACATTACCTACCATGATGTTTACTAACCTTGGACTCAGCAGCCTCCTTTCTTCTGAAGCTTGTTCTACCAAGGAGTTGTAATGGAACTGTTTAAGATATCAGTGGTTATTTTACATTTTTATATGAACCATGAAAAAGGCAAATGTATGTATGGAAATGACATTGCTTGTATATCTTGACTAGGTATTCAAGGTTATTAATTTAAAAGTTCTTCCTGAAAACATGTCTTTGATTAAATAAGCTTTCACACACACACACAAGCTTAGCCAGCCCTACAAGCTACAGTATTTAATTTTAGGCATGTAGAAAGTCAGTTTTAGTATTAATAGAAGGAATTGAGCACATGTATAGATGATATGGTTGTGGGTGAAATACATTAAATCAACAGCAGCGGTTTCTATGTTAATTTTGTACTTTACAGAAATAGATTTCCTTGTTCTTGTGGTAACATGTTGAGGCTTAATGACCGTCAATGACGAGGACAGTAATAAGGCAGCATAAAGTGAGTATGTACCCTTCACAACTTGTCATTACTCTGCTCATATATTTTATATTTATTTCATTGAATTGTGTAATTTTATTAAAAAAAAAAAAACCACACCTAAATTATTTTACATTCATTTATTTACATTTTTTCCTCAATGAACTACCCTCATGTACAAATAAAATCTGTATTTGTTTCTGCTCTGATTTAAAGTATGGTAAATTATTCCTATAAAAAGACGTCTGCTGAGTCTGTTTTTGTACTTTCAAATAAAGCTTTTTAAAACCTCAGTGAGAGGTGCAGATTTACTCAGTTCAACACATGCAAGTTACACATGCAAAAATAATTCTTTTAATTTTGTGCCACACAGGACCAAGACACATGAGTCGGCTAATATGAATATTTGCAAATATTTTGTACCCAACTGTAAATTAATTTCTGCTTTTCCAGAAAGACGGCTATCATTGGCACAAGAAGGTGTCAAAACCAACCTATGACTTTATATACAAAACTGGTCTCCTATAACTACTGAATTTAGAAAATATGTGACAAACACAGATAATAACATTTCAGGTGAAAAACAAAGTGGTAGAAGAAACTACGAAGTCTCCATTTCTCCCCCCCCCCCGCCACAGACTTTGGTTTGATCCAACTACGCCTGAACGACACACATTGAATACATTAAGTTTAAGTTTTTTAACTTCATTACACAAAGAGAACATACAGTATTAAACACCACAATTTACACCAATCAAATTCTGTACATATTTCATAATCCCTGGAACATGAAATTATATCATGAATAGTGATCACGTCAAACACAAAAAGATTCTGCTAAAAGCATTTACAATT